TATTAGTATTATTATTATTATTATTATTATATTTATTATTATTAGTTATTATATTATATTATTTTTATTATTATATTATTATTATATTATTATTATTTATTATTATTATATTATTATATTATTATATATTATTATTATTATTAGATTATTATATTATTATTATTATTATTATTTTATATTATTATTATTATTATTATTAGTATTATTATATTATTATTTATTATTATTATTATTATTTTATTATTATTATTATTATTATTATTATTATTTTATTATTATTATTATTATTATTTATTATTATATTATTTATTATTATTATTATTATTCTTATTATTATTATTATTACTATTATTTTATTATTATTATTATTATTATTATTATTATTATCTTATTTATTCTTATTTATTATTATTATTATTTTATTATTATTTATTTTATGATTATTATTATTATTATTTATTATTATTATTATTATTATTATTATTATTATTATTTATTATATTGTTAGTATTATTATTATTATTATTCTTATTATTATTATTATTTATATTATTATTAGTATTCTATTATTCTTATTATTATTATTATTATTTTTATTATTATTTATTTATTTATATTATTATATTATTATTCTTATTATTATTATTATTATTATTATTATTATTATATATTTTATTTATTATTTTATTATTTTATTATTATTATTTATTATTATATTATTAATTATTATTATATTTTCTTATTATTATTATTATTATTATTATTATTTTATTATTCTTCTTATTATTATTATTATTATTATTCTTCTATTATTATTCTTATTAGTATATTAGATTATTATTATATTATTATTATTATTATTATGTTTATTATTATTATTATATATTATTATTCTTATTAGTATTATTATATTCTTATTATTGTTATTATTATTATTTATTATTATTATACTTATTATATTATTATTATTATTTTATTATTATTATTCTGATTATTATTATTATTATTCTTATTATTATTTTATTATTATTATTATTCTATTTTATTATTATTATTATTATTGTTATTATTATTATTATTATTTTGATTCCTATTATTGTAATTATTATTTTTATTTTATTATTATATTATTATTATTTATATTATTTTGATTATTATTATTATATTATTATATTATTATTATTCTTATTATTATTATTATTATTATTATTATTATTATATTAATTATTATTATTATTGTATATTATTTTGATTACTATTATTGTAATTATTATTTTTATTATTATTATTATTATATTATTTTGATTATTATTATTATTATTATTATTATATTTTTAATTTTAAAATTGTAAAAAATATGATTTTCTTACAAATCAAAATCTTATACTTTTTCAACTTTTTTCTTATTTTTTAAGTTATTAAAAATGTAAATGATGCCTTCTTATAATCTCTATATAATTAAAAAATATATTTATAATTTTGAGATTTATTTTAAATCATAAAAAAATTAACTCCCATCTTCATAACCTTCTTATGTACTGTACTCTCCATCATAATCATGTATTGTATCACACTTCAAAAAAACTTCAAAATTTTAATTTCATGCAATTTCGATGCGACCCTATACCCTATTATTCACATAGGTATTAATTAACAATAACTACAACTTAATTCACTCAATTATGGATTAGTTTCTCTCAATTAACTGTTAATTGGTTTCTCTTTAAAACCTGCCGAGATAAACACCAGAGATGGATGAGTCACGGAAAATCAATCAAACGGGTCGACTGAACTGTTTGTTAATAACCCCAATTCATCGGGTGATTATTACGTTTGCCATGGAACAAATGGGTAATGACAACAACAGCAACAACTGCAATTATTTTAGATAATATTTTTTAAATAATTTTCCATAAATATTAAAATGAATGTGGAATTTTTTGCAACTTTTTTTTCGAGGATTACCAGTGGATTTGTATTAAACGTTTATTTAGGTGATTCTACAAGGGTTTTTAAAGGATTAACTGGGATTTTTTTTTATCCTCAGCCATATGGCTACAGAGGGCATTTGATACGGCCAAAACGTGCCTCATCGAAATAACGGCTTTAGATCCTAGGTCACTTTGGACCAAATCCGTTTCAGGACATTTAGAGTCGATCGATTTGGCGATGTCCGTCTGTCTGGCTGACTGGTGCGCACGATAAATCTCGAAGGGAGTATCCGATTCGATCCAAACTTGGTATATCGTAATATTATTCTCAAACTTAGATCGAGTTCGGAGATGGGCCATATCGGTCCACACCTTTTGGTACCTCCCTCTCGACATTTTCATAGAAAATAATTTACAGAAAGCATAATCCGATTTCGCTCCATCTTTGCAGATCCTAATATTTGCATAAGTGCTAGGTCAGGTGCGAAATTGGACAATATCGCTCCACTCCATCGAGTACCTCCCCCAGAAAGGATCAAAATTTGGAATAATTATAACTCTTATAAAATGTAATGTAGGTGTCCGATTGTGGTCAAATTACACCCATCACAATATTTTTATTAACCCAATATCTAGTGTGAAGAGGGAAAATATCGGTCCACTGCTTCTAGTACCTCCCCCACATAGGGTCAAAATTTTGAATATTCATGAAGCTCATAGAACACGAAATTAACATTCGATTCCATTCAGACTTGGCGCATCGCAATATTTCCATAAACACAAGATTGGTTATAAAGATGGTAGCGATCGGACCATTCCTTTTGGTACATTCTCCACAAAGGGTCGAAGTTTTGAATAACCAAAACGATCATAAAATACGAACTAAGCATCCAACTGTCTTCAAATTTCACACATCCAAATATTTTTGCTAACGTAAGATCTGTTCTAAAGATGATAATTATCTGCCAATCCCTTCTGGTAGCTCATCCACAAAGGGTCACAATTTCAAATACTTATATACTTCATAACTTTCAAAGCAAGTCGGCGATTCTACACAATTTTCAATATCTAAATATTTCTCTTAGCCAGAATTCTGATATGTAATTTATCGGAATTTTCGCATAAAATTGGATATAAATGTTCGATTTCCTTTAAATTCTGCACATACCAATATTTTTATCTGTTTTAGATGAAGTATGAAAATGGAATACTTCGGTCCGCTATAAATGTTACCTTTTTTTCACATACCTCCTCTAAAGTATAGGAAGTAGTCGATATAGCCCAAATATGGCACGTTGTTATATTTATATGAGACTTAGGTCAGATAAAAAATGGTTACGATTGGCCAACTCCTTCAGAACATCCTCCATAAAGGGTATAATCATAATCATAACTCAAGGTTGGGGTATACATCTGTTTTATTTTTTTTTATATTTTTTTTCTTTTATTTTTATCACATCATAGACTGTGAATCACAGACTTTGTTCGCATTCGCCTTTAATGCTGCTTTTCGTAGAATATTTTCAAAACACGTTCCAAAATTTCGATGAACTTTAAAGTGCCTGCTTTGAATTCTAATGCGGAAACCTAGCAACGCTCATTTAGGCAATTAAAACGTAAGTGTTCTCCACTTCCCATTTCAAATGGGGGTGATATAAATCAAACAAAGAACAACAGCCGCCAGAAAAAAAATGAAGAACAAAAAAATTCCCCTCCCCAAAATTTGGCAAAGTCTGGAATAAAAACAAGTAAAAAAACATTAAGTTCGGCCGGGCCAAACTTTTAATACCCTCCACCTTAGGGTAAAAGAAACATTAGAAGAAATGTGGCAAAAACCATTAAAATGCCGATTATGGGGAGGTACCGTTATATGGGGGCTATACCAAAACGTGGACCTATAATTACAATGTTTCGCCACCGGAGCTGGAACCCATTATGACCCACAAATACCAATTTTTAGACAAATCAGTGAAAAAATGTGGCAAAAACCATCAAAATACCGAATATCGGGAGGTACCGTTATATGGGGGCTATATCAAATCATGGACCCATGCATGCAATGTTTCGCCCCCGAAGCTGGAACCAATTATGACCAACAAATACCAATTTTCGAACAAATCCCCGAAAAAATGTGGCAAAAATCATCAAATTACCGAATATCGGGAGGTACCGTTATATGGGGGCTATACCAAAACGTGGACCTATAATTACAATGTTTCGCCACCGGAGCTGGAACCCATTATGACCAACAAATACCGATTTTCAGACAAATCCGTGAAAAAATGTGGTAAAAAAATTAAAATACTAAATATCGGGAGGTACCTTTATATGGGGGCTATACCACAACGTGGACCTATACATGCAATGTTTTGCCACACGCTCAGGGACCCGCTATGACCTACAAATACCAATTTTAAGACAAATCTGTGAAAAAATGTGGCATAAATCATCAAAATACCGAATATCGGGAGGTACCGTTATATGGGGACTATACCAGAACGTGGACCGATATATCTCATTTTCAATACCAACCATCCTAGACACAATGCAAATAGCTCTGCTAAATTTTGGAGCTCTACGTCAAATAATGTGGGCTGTATCGTGATTTCAACAGACAGACAGACAGACGGACATCGTTAAATCGACTTAGAATTTTATGCTGATTATGAATATATATACTTTATGGGGTCTAAAACGAATATTTAGGGATGTTACAAACGGAATGACAAAGTTAATATACCCTCCTTTCCAAGGTGGAGGGTATAAAAAGGGAAAGTGGTCCCCACCATTCGTTCTACTCCCCAAAGGGTTAAAGTGAAGCTAGAGTGGGCATAATTTGTAACCCCTCCGAACGTGACTAAGACGCTCATCTGATGTGTGATGACGACACGAAAGTTATGCTGGGCCACCATTAGAATTGCCAAAAAATATCCGAAAAAAATAAACAAAATCAGTGTGTATAACAAACCACGAGTCGGACAGACGAGCGAGCAGACTTACATACATATATGAGAGTTTTGATATGGTTGATGTTGTTGTTGTTGTAGGTTTTGCTTTTGTTTTTTGTTTTCTGGCGCTGGGATGTGATGCGCATGCATAGTTCTTTTCGGGCCACCACAGCAGGAAATTACAGCAACAACAGCAGCATAGCCAAATGCCAAAAATCAGTAGATATTTACGTCGGTAGCATAGAGCACGTACTGACGACAGCCAACCAGCAAGCCAGTCGAACAGCCAGCAGCCCATCATCCAGCCGAGCTTCCTTCAATACACAACTGATTAATAATTGCTGTCCAAAGTAATCGAGACGACAGAGGTTAATTAGAAATTCTGAAAACGTAATTATTTTAGACAATTTAAAAACAAAAAACTCTTGTCAACGACCAACATCAACAAAGAAACGAAAAAACCAAAACAAAAAACATTTTTTTATTTTATCGTTTTTTTTTTTAGAACAATTCCATCCTTGAGCTACGTCCACGAGCAGCCAGTGAAAGTTCTCCCATCAGATTTTGCATCATCTCCCGCATCCCCTCTCTCAGCAAACGTTAAAGCAGGTCAACAAGAAGAACCAACCATTATGAAACCAACGATGAGACATCATGTCCTTTTATCCTTTGTCATCTGCCTGATTTGTGCTGCGGCCGTGGTCCATGGCGACGAGAAGAATATAAACAAGCTGCTGAACAATCAGGTGATTGTCAGCCGCCAGATAATGTGTGTTCTCGAAAAAAGTCCCTGTGATCAATTGGGCAGGCAGCTGAAAGGTAAATGAAATGATTGAAAATTGAAATGATTTTTTGGAAATATCCCCCCCCCCCCCCCCCCCCCCCCCCCCCGGTTTCGTATTGGGTTTTAAGGTCATGGACATGGATGTGTGAGTGTGTGTGTGTGTTGTATTGAAAATCGCAAAAATATGTGTTTGAGACATCAAAAAAAAATATTTATACAATACATTCCGCAAGAAAATTTAAAAAATCCAAGATTCTTAAAAATGGAATGGGTCGTTAAATAACCCAAATAATCCAGGATTATTGTCTGAAAGTTGCGCAAAAAATATAAAATCCACACCTAGGATAAATAAGTCCTTCAAAAAATGTTTTTCAAAAATTAAGTTTCAGATGATATGGTCCTTTAAAAATTATTCTTACAAATCCAGATTTGAATTATTCCAGACCTTCAGAAATTATTCTAAAATCCAGTTTATTAGTATCAATCGGTTTTGCCGACAGATGTATACCCCAAGCCTTGAATTATGATTATTCAAACTGTTGACCCCATATGGGGGAGGTTCCGAAGCAGTTGGCCAATATTTTCCAATTCGGATCTGACCCAAGTCTGATATAAATATTAAAGCGTGTCATATTTGGACCATATCTATACTTCCTACACTTTATATGAGATTTGTACCAATTTCTCCAAAATGTGGAAATATGCCTGAGGTACCAGATATAGCGGACCGAAATATTCCACTTAATCCATAGTATCTGCATAATTTAAAGGAAATTGAACTTCTGTATCAAATTTTATACGAAATCATAAATTCCGATTAATTACACATTCAAATCAAATTTCTGCCAAGTTATGGAACCCTTTGTGGGTGAGGTACCAGAACGGGTTGGCAGATATCTATCATCTTCCCAACAGATTTTGCGTTAGCAAAAATGTTTGGGCGTGTGATATTTCGAAGAGAGTTAGAGGCTTATTTCGCGCTTTGTTTTATAACATTTTGAACCCTTTGTGCAGGAAATGCCAGAAAGAGTGCGACGATATATCCCATTTTTTTCAGCAGATCTTGTGTTAGTATAGATAATTGGATGTGATAAATTTGTAGAGAATTGAATGCTTATTTCGGATTTTATGATCGTTGCAATTGGATGTTAATTTCGCTTTTTAGGAGCTTCATGGACTTTCAACATTTCGAACCTTTGTGGGGAAGGTACCAGAAGTAGTGAACCGATATATCCAATTTTCACAGCAAACCTTGGATTAGTACAAATATTGTGATGTGTGAAATATGAAGATAACCGGATGCTTATTTCCGATTTTATGATCGTTTTGGTTTTTCAAAACTTTGACCCTCTGTGGGGGAGGTATCAGAAGAAATGGTCCCATCTCTACCATCTTTATAACTGATCTTGTGTTGAGGGAATTATTGGGATGTGCCAAGTCTGAATGGAATCGGATGTTAATTTCGCCTTTTATAAGCTTCATAAATATTCTAAATTTTGACCCTTGTAGGGGAGGTACCAGAAGGAGTGGATCTATATATTCCATCTTCACAGCAGATCTTGTGTTAGTCAAAATAATAGGATGTGTGTGATTTGAAAAGAACCGGATGCTTATTTCGGATTTTATAATCGTTTTGGTTATTTAAAACTTTGACCCTCTGTGGGGGAGGTACCAGATGGAATGGTCCGATCTCCACCATTTTTATAACAGATCTTGTGTTGATGGAAATATTAAGACGTGATAAAATTTGCATGAAATCGGATGTTAATTTCGGGTTTTAGGAGCTTCATGGAATTCAATATGTTGACCCTATGTGGGGGAGGTACCAGAAGTAGTGGACCAATATATTCCATATTCACAGCAGATCTTGTTTTAGTAGAAATAATAGGATGTGTAAAATATAAAAATAAACGGATGCTTATTTCGGGTTTTATGATCGTTTTGGTTATTCAAAACATTGACCCTTTGTGGGAGAGGTACCAGAAGGAATGGTCCGATCTTTACCATCTTTATAGCAGATCTTGTGTTGATGAAAATATTGAGATGTGCCAAGTCTGAACGGAATCGGATGCTAATTTCCCGCTTTATGTGCCTCATGAATTTTCTAAATTTTGACCCTATATGGGCGAGGTACCAGAAGGTGGGGGCTGATATATTCCTTCTTCACACCAGACCTTGGGTTAATAAAATTATTTGGATGTGTGGATTTTAAAGACAATCGGACACTTACATCACCTTTAATAAGATTTATAATTATTCAAAATTGTTGACCCTTTGTGGGGAGGTACATGATTGAGTGGACCGATATTGTCAATATTCTCACCTAACCTAGCACTGATGCAAATATTAGGATTTACAAAGATGAGCCAACATCGGAGTATCCTTTCTCTTTTTGTGCAGAAAATATTTTTTTGAAAATTTAGACCTTTTGTGGGGGAGATACCAAAAGAAGTGGACCGATATTGCCCATCTCCGAGCTCGATCTAAATTTGACAATAATATTACGATATACCAATTTTGGATCGAATCGGATGCTCCCTTCAAAAGTTATTGTGCGCAGCAGCCAGCTAGATCGACTCCAAAATTTCCTGAAATGGATTTGAACCAAAGAGACCCAGGGTCTAAACCCATTATTTCCTTGTGGCACGTTTTGGCCGCATCAAATGAAATATACCCTCTCTAGCCATAAGGCTGAGGGTATAAAAATAGTTCCAATTGTGATAGCTTTTGAGAACATTTTTTAAATAATCTAATTTGGTATCAGACGGAGATATTGAAAGTCCCTCCATAAAATTTATTTAAAAGTCTAAGATTGTTCAATATGGGTTTATTGGGCTTTTATGGTCAAGTTAATCAAATGAAAATAAACGAATTTATTTCATATTTTGCTCAACGTTTCGTTGGCTTGTTTCCAACTTTTTCAAGAGCGTTTTTTATTGAATTCTGTTTATAAATGAGAAACATATTTCATTATTAGAATTTTGTTTTGTGACATATTGCACTTTAAATTTAACTTACATCAATAATTATGCATTATTTATTTCTTATTAATATTAATAAAACGGGACTCCACAACATTTAATTAATATAAAGTAAAAATAAATAATCAATAAAATAAGAATCACAGTTAAACTTAAGCTAAATCACAGAACCGTTTCTAAATAATCGCAATAGAATACTGTAGTTTAGTATTATCTTTGTCTTCTTTGGTATTTATTGATCTGGCAATGCTTTGCTGTATTCGTAGGCTTTCCAATGTATATCTTTTGTTCTCCTTATTTTCCCTATCTAAAATTTTGACATTTGTTAGATCAGCTGTGTGGCCACTCTCCGTTGTGTGTTGTGACAGTGCTGTTTTTGCTAATCCTTTATTGATATCATTTTGATGTTCTCCTATTCTTACACCAAGCATTCTTTTTGTTGTGCCCACATAAACTTTCCCGCATTTCTCTTTCTCATTGCATGTAATTTCATATACAACGTTATGTTGTTTTTGTTTGTCTTGTTTTGTTTTTGTGCGTTTGAAAATCTCTTGCATTGTCTAAGATTGTTGTTTTGTGTTTTAAAATAAATTAAAAAATTGGTTCCGAAATTCCCATTTATCTCTTCGGGGTTTTACATATTTTAAAATTGATCAATATCGAATATTATTCCATTGAACTGTGTATTCGATATCCAAACTAGATTCAAAACAAGAAACCAATATCGATATCGAATCGAACAAATTATTATACATTTCATTTCGTATAATTTTCTACCAAATTTATGAAGGCAATTTGTTGCTACCGTCCAACGTTTTCGAAAAAATTTGAATAGCAAATGGGACAAATTACTTTACTAAATGATTTAATTAGCCAAATGTTGTGGTCAGCTTTGGTTAGACTTTGTTTTTCTCAAAAAATGATGGTACGTTCTGGAAACCGTTTGGCATTGAAAATAACAAACAAAAAAAAAAATCATATCAACAACACTTTCGTTTCAACTCCAAGTCAATTGGCTGGCTATAACTTCAAGACGTTTCTCGGCTATGACGGGTTAATAACTCCACCCCCCCCCCCCTGTTATCATGTCAGAAAATCAATGATTCATCCGAGTGATTCTTATGTATTAAACATTTAATTTCAATGGCAATTTTCTAAATGTGCGAGGACGGTGACAGCAACAGAGCCGACAATAACAGCAATCATTGGCATGACGTCAATATTGTTTTATTCCATGATTGACAAGAGCAAACGTCACGTTTAAATTTGCATACGTCATACGCGCCATAACTTATAATTTATAACCTGTATTTATTTTTAGAGCCATAACAAGTTAAGATATAGGGGTTATAGGCGGTATTGGGGGCCACTGGTAATGACCTACGCTGCTAAGCAATATATGTTTTTTAGATCTGAAGAAAATATTAAAACGTTGTTTTTTTTTTTGAAAACAACAATTATGGGATTAAGCCTAACTATTTTGCAACGACGAAAAATAGGAAATAATAAAAATCTCTTAAAATATTCTCTTGATTCATACTCGGAATTTTTAGCTCTCTAGTTCTCGAAAGTCGTATATAATCTCTTATGTAAGAGAGGATGGAGAGAGGGAGAGAGATAAATAATCAACTAATCCCTTATATACAGAGTGAGATAAAAAAACCGCAACAAAGTCAAATGTCATAATTTTTACTTTTTTTTTAATTTTATTGAATAAAAGCCAAACATTTCGGAAATAGCCTTAAAATTTTAGAATAACTTTAGATTTGTTCGAATTGGTCACCTTTGGCACGAATTATGGCCTTCAAATGGCCAATGAAACCGTCACACACTGTCCGAATGTTGCTCTGCGGTATTTTGGCCCATTCCCGGCGAAGCGCTAGCTTGAGGTGATCGACACTTTGGTATTTTTTAGTGCCAACCTCGCATTCCAAATTACTCCAGACACAATAGTACAGCGGATTGGTATCCGGAGATTTTGATGGCCATTGTCGGCTGGAAATGAAACGAGAAACCTCATTTTGTAACCATTCTTGGGTGGCGCGTCCTAAGTGCGATCGATGGTGCTGAGTCCTGTTGGAATGTCCAAGATCTGCGGCCAAAATGTTTGCGTGCCCAAGGCTTTAATACACCCTCCAGAATATATTCACGATAATATTCGGCATTTATTCTGATGCCACGGTCGATTAATACGGGCGGAGAGCGACCATCGGTTTTTATGGCGCCCCCCACACCATCACCATGGCCGGCGTTTGAGTTCTGTTGGCCAACCGAAGGTGCACATTTTCAGCTGACCTCTTTAGCAAGTAAACACGATCATTTTGTTTGTTTACAAATTTGCTGGACAGCGAATGTTTTCTCATCGGAGAAACCCAAATTCGGCAGTTCATCACTTCCATGCGGCCAAGCAAAGCAACTCTAGCTATTTTTAGTCTATTTTCTTTCTGTTGCGGTGTAAGTTCTTGCACTTTTTGGGATTTCAATGGCTTTATCCCGAGCGATATGTTCAGCACACGAGCCATTTTTCGGTCACTGCAATGCGGCTTTCGATCAAGACGCTTCTTTACTTTTCGAATAATTTCTGCTGATTTTGCTGTTTTCTTCCGTCTTCCGTCCACTTCCTTGACGTCGGGCTACGCTATCAGTATCACGGTAACGAGCGATGGGCGATGGTACAAGACACAAAAGATTTATTCACATTTCAATGCTGGAGTGCTCTAATGATAGCCACTTGTGGTTTTTCAGCCAAATATAAAGAAATCACACTATCACGCTTGAATTCCATCACGAATAACTTTTTTTCTGGGAAATTCTCACCAAAATGCTTTCGTACACTTGTAAACAATATAATGAGCTGTGACTGGAATAATTTTAACAGCTGTCGGACGAGTGGCTTAGAAATGACAGCAGTCTGAAGTTGGTTGCAGTTTTTTTCATCTCACCCTGTACACACTGATTTGGTCACACACACATTAGATTTATCTAACCTCTTCTAAAAGGACTCTCTCTTATGTGAGAAAGGATCGAGAGAGGGCGAGAGAGATAAATAATCACTCATATAAATCTCTCATATAAACTGATATGGTCACACACACAAATTATCTTGCTCATACCTACTACTAATAGGACTCGCAGTAGATGGCGCCCACACACGATCCTGTGTCGTAAAAAATGCTGCCAACGTAATGTGCAAACCAAATTTTCCGAAACATTACGTAGAAAATAAATGGCGCCCAACATGAAGTACACACCCACATCTCCGAGATTAGGAATAACAGGCTCTACTAAAAGTCATCATCTACTGAGATTTTCAATAGAATTAATAAGTTAGTCTGTTTCTTTTGACTGACCTAAATGTCGGATTTATAATAAAATTATATCCTTCGAAAAATGTGGCTGAAGGGGCCAAATTTGAGACCATGGACTCCTTATTGGAATTCAACAAAACATTAGACATGACAAAATATCTACAACACTGCCTTACAAGAATCCCGGCAGATGGCGCCCCACGTGGGGCTTACAAACAGAGGACCATGACTGCTTATAGCGCTGCCTAGCAAGAAACCAGAACAGATATAAAAAACATTCTCCTCCACCAACTGAGCTAACCCAGCTGAGGGATTTCCATTAGAATTTATGATTAACGATCTTTTAAGTCTGTGGTTGGAAGATTTAAAGTGGGAGTATGAAAAAGATTCCGAATATTAAATTTGAAAAAAAGCTTTTGAAAAGTCTTATTGCCTTGAAACCGTAAACACGCCAAGCAATCCACTGTAGCGCTGCCAAAAAGGAACCACTATCAGATGGCGCCCAACGTGGAGCTCAATATAAAAATAAAAAAAAACTTCTCTTGTAACTGTTGTAAAATCTTATAGCCCAGCAACAGTAGACGCGCCGAAAAATACGCTATAGCTCTGTCAAAAAGGAAACCGTAGAAGATGGCGCCCAACATGAGGCTCAAAACAGAAATAAGGAACATTCTTATGTACCAAGTGAAAAAGCCGAGTTGTCGGATATCCATTAGAATTATTATTAACTTTTAAATCCATGGTTGGGCGCGAACTAGACGTGGACGTTGAAACCATGATTTCCAATTGAGTGTTAGCATTATCCTGACCTGTTAAAAATCGTCCAGACCTGTTAAAAATCGTCCTGACCTGTTAAAAATCGTATGAGGCATATTGATACAATTGGAGACCAAATTCGTTTTTTGGTCTCTTAATAGCACGCACGTAGACAAGCTGCAAGATCATTCCAGGTTCGATCACAATAGCTCATCCTAACAGATGGCGCCCAATAAAAGGTGGAAAGCTAATGAAACTGAAGGTGAGAATACATAAAACGTTCTTTGACTGGCTTAAGTGATCAGCTGGCTTTTTCGGAAAAAACAAAGGAGCGTATGGCCAAAATAGAACTAAGTCAACCGAAAACTACTTTGATACTCTAGGAAGAAGCCAGCCGATGATTTAATCAAATTAAAAAAGCTTTTTATGTACTCTCACCTTTAGTCATAACAAATGGTACTTAACGTGTATCGCAACTATCCTGATTCATAACATATGGCGCCCAACTGATACCCCGATTACGAATTTCATACTCTACCATATCCTTAAAGAAATTAGGAAAACGAATATTTCTCCAGCTTCAGTCTGAGTAATTTAATTCGGGAAACTAGTCACTTCCCCACTTTGGGCGCCACTTCTGAATGAAAATTCGTTACTTTGTGAGGTTTCAAAAGAAATGTTGATGGAAAAAGGGTCTTCTCTCTATATGAGTGTATATCGTCTGTATATACTTTAGTCTACCATACGTTGGGCGCCAGTCTAGGCTCCATCCTTTTGTACTTAAAAAAAATCGCTTAAATAGGGACTTTTTGTACGTGTGTCTTACATCACTCATAGAGCCAACGTCTTTAAGTTTCACGTTCATCAAATCAGAATCTGATGTTGAGCCCCACTTTCAACATAAAATAAGTTCGCTTTTAGGCCCCATTTCCGTATTTGAATTATTCATTATCTGAACATTTTTTTTGCGAAAAAACTCTTGAAAAATCTATTGTCTTCTATATTTTCGTTCACTTAAGGTTGGGCGCCACTTTCATTAATATTTATTTAGGTTTCATAAATGTAAAATCCTAATACGTTTTTTTGGGCGCCATTGCCTTTAAGGTTCCATATTCCGAAGGAATGGCGCCCAAGGTGTTACCCCCACCTACAAACCTGAGTTGTTATCAGTAGCGTTGAATGTGTAGCACAAACCCACCACACCGACATCGTTAGTTAGGTCTAACAAAGAGTGGCAACATATGGCGCCCAACCTGAAGTATAAAAAGCCTCAACCGATGAATTTCACATTCTACTAAAATCCTAGAATTTATTTTTTTTTAATCACAAGCTTTGTAGCGTAACGAAAATTTGTAAGAAATGGCGCCCAAGATGGGGTCCAAGCCATAGAACCTTAAATTGTAAATAGTGGCGTGTAATGGGCCTGATACAGCAAACACTCCACTCAACCCAAGTCTAAGAAAGAGTGGTAATAAATGGCGCCCAACGAGAGGCAAGTAAGAACTACTTTGCTTAGCAACAGTTGTTTTCCAACAAACCTGATAACTCGGGCATACCACTTTAACCTCGCCTAACAAAAATTAAATAACTAATGGCTCCCAACGTACTTCTGTCGTAGTATGAAACTACTCGAAAATGGTATAGAACATTTTTTAAAAAGGACTAGAAGAGCACAAGTCCTACTTGTTACTTATTTTTGTACCATCCACCATACATATAATAATTTTAGACCTAAATTCTAAGACGATGTAGCCCTGTCCGTCCCTCCATCCGTCCGTTTTAATCACACTAGAGTCAAAACGAATTAAGATAGGAAGCTAAAATTCTGCACAGATCAGTCTTTTGTGTTCAGGTAGGTCAAGTTCGAATATTAGTTATATCGGTCCACGATATCGTATAGCCCCCCGATATTCGGAATTTTTAAAATTTTATTCAAAATTTTCAATGGAATTCTCTGAAATTCCAACCAAGGAGTTCTTTGTGGGTACTTTACCGCCGGTAAGAGAATTGTATATCCATGATATCGTGTATCTCCCATATAAAGGTACCTCCCGATATTCGGTATTTTGATGATTTTTGCAAATTTTTTTATTGGAATTTTCTGAAAATCCACACAAGGAGTTCCTCCTGAGTACTTTATCCCCTGGAAGGGAATTGTCTATTAGGTCCAGGGGGAGTACTATACGACCCCCATATAACGGTACTCGCCGATATTCGGTATTTTGATGATTTTAGCGACATTTTTGACCGGAATTGTTTCAAATTTCGTATTTGAAGTACGGAATCGGTACTACAGCCTGTGACAAAAATTGCTTATGGAGAACCACATCTTGGTATATCCACCATGTTACGGTTTGCATTTAAGTGGTATTTTTCAACGGATTTTTTTTTTTGAAAAATTTCAAAATCCTTCAAAATGGTGGAGGGTATTAAAAGTTCGAACCGGACGTATTTAGCTGTTTTTTTACTTGTTAAATATTCTGTTCTTTTTTTCTTAATTTTAACAATACTAACTTCCCATCTCTGTAGCTTGCTTTGCACTAAACGTTTGTAGGGGATATAACGTTGTTGTTATACCTAAGTCACTATAACAGTCGTTAAGTTGATGAATAAAATAACACACCTCTTCTTTATCCGCCTAGCTTATCAAAAATGAGATCATAGCAATTAATTTCACATCCACCACAAAAATTAACATTTTTTATTACATTCATGTGAATTATAGGATACGTGATTTTATAATAAAAAAAAAATTATTTAATTATTTGTTTATTGTTTCAGCTGCTCTACCCGAGGTAATTGTACGCAATTGCCGCAACTGTTCCCCGCAACAGGCGCAAAATGCTCAAAAACTGACAACATTTTTACAAACCAAATATCCCGATGTTTGGGCCATGTTATTGAGGAAATACAAGACATAAATAAATGGCCACACGCCAGCAGCAAGTTAAGCAGCAGAACGGTGGAGCATTACTACTACAAACAGCAACAACAACAACAACAAACTAACTTCAAACAAGCATCAATGTAAAATAGTATGGAATTGTCATCTCCCGAAAACAAGTAGTTGTACTCTCGATATAGAACACACACACATATTCGAAAATATGGCAACCCTAGAACAACCGAAACTAGGAAAACAAATAAACAACTCGTTTTAAGACAAAAACAAACATTAACGTTTCCCTCAATGTAATTGCCGAGTAGATGATAACCACAAAAAAAAGCGAACCACAATTGATGTCAAAAGCATGAAATATTTCTTTCAAATAAAAAAAATGTTCTTCTGCTTGTAAACTATTTTAATAAATAAAAAAAATAGTTATAATAATAAAAACCATGTTTGTGGTATTTTTAACAAATCACGATTTAGAGATGTGAACACATTTGAAAAAATCTAAAAAAAATCGTACTCAAGCATTAATACTACTTAAAAAAATCCATCGATATTGGCATCGTCGGTTTGCCACCTCCAAAAGGGCATCGAATTGTTCTACTTCATAACATTAGAAACATTATTAGGGGGATATCATGCCCAGTAGGTTCTATTTGTCAATTCCATTGCATATACCTCAAATAAATCTTCATAAAAAAGGTTAACCCGGAAAAAAGGTCTAACGTAAACATGCCTTTAGTCCGATTTTCCCTTTATGATATTAATATGCCTAGCCATGACTTTAAGCTTTTTATATGTGATAGCAGATTTTCCCGTTATATAAAAATAAATAAAAAATTTCAAAACTAGGCTGGAACAGAGCCTTGTCTTACTATCTCGATAGTTGGTCATCTCTAAACAGATGGTTATATTTCATTTTACTGATTTTTAAGTCCCTGCACAGTTAAGGTTTTCGATCTGGTGAACTCTAGCGCAAATCTGGCTATCTTTTTCGATCTGTTGGTCCCTTTAAAATTTGAACCTAGAAGCGTCCCAACGGACGCCTTGCTTGTGAAATCGTGTTTTAAAGCGGATTATTGGACAATATCTTGTTGTGTGAACTTAGTGAACGCAGGATTGCACGTAAAATACTCTTAGATCCTTAGATCCAATCCTGTGTGTGTGTGTGGTCTGTGGTGAAACGGTTTCAATGGTGCCATTAAAGCAATCCATCAATTTGTGAAATGAGGGAATGTGTTGTGTGTGTTTTTTAGGCTTGCAACATGTGGGACCCAAGGAAATGCTGCGTACCAAGCTGTCAAAACTCTCTCTGGTCCGGAACTGTCCGAAGGAGTTCAGTGTCCATATAGTGACCAAGAAGTCTTCCACTATCTGTAGCCGACATTTTGAGCCAGAGATGTTTACTATTAAATCGGGGCCTAGGCAGCTGGCGTGGAATGCTAAGCCGTGTCTCCTTCTATTAAAGTGGACGCTGATAATGTGGATGTGGACAATAAAGGGAGTAAGTTTGTTGTGGGAAATTTCTGTATAGGGATATGGGCACGTGGGATATGTGGGGAACATGTGGATATGTACCCAAAACATGACGTCCCCCCTCAAACCCATTTTTACAGTTTATAAAATTGAAAAGATTTAAAAAACGTAGACAAGCTAGAAATAGATAGCAATGACTTAATAAAGGAAGAAAATAGTCGTTATCAAAAAGAAAATGCATTTTTACGTGAACAGCTTCAGCTCGCTCTAGATAAAATTGATTTTTTGCTTGAAAACGGAATTTTCCCTTCGGAAAGAGCCAGGAAAAAGAGCATAGAATTTGCACGTGTCATTACAAATGAATCCTCACCGCCTTACACACCTGATCGCTTAGACGTTATGAATTCATGAGAAATGTACTACAATTTTCCCTCCCAGATACTGAAACCGTTATAAGTTGGCGAACGGAATTTCAGTAGGATTTGCTCCTAAGGTAATGAGAACATTGCGCACTACAGTAGAGGAAATGACACATCAGAAACGTACGTGTGCATTACAGTTTGACCAGTTAAAAGTTACAGACACGGAAAGCGACGTTGTAACATATTGCTTAGGACTACAATTGATAGGCTTGTGTAGCGAGTGGAGAATATTGGTATGATTTTTACTAACCAAAGTTTATAGTTTATCGGTGTTGTACTGAGGTAAGTTTTCATGAAACTCAGATGTTTGCCACTGAATCTTGCTGTGTGCATCTGCGACCGACATCCAGTGCATGTTCAGTTTTACCACCATCACCATGATTATTGTGGACCCAGCCGTCTTTCTTTCCCTCCAAATTCCGAAGACAATCTTCGTTGTATGTTCGATATAACACACTCTCTATTTAATTTCATAAATTACCTCTTCAAAAAATAACATGCTCTCGTTTTTAATATATTCCAATCAGAATCCCAATCAGACGAAGCTGACAAATCATGTTTCCAGCTGAGAAGGTCCATTTTCGCAACCAGCTACTATAAATCTTATGCTTTTGAGAATATAACCATGGAAAGAATTGCAGCACTTTTCAATAGAAATGTACTTGAAACATATTTTCTGGCCACTAACAAGTTTTATACTGATATAATTCCGATCGTTGAACATTGTTTCAAAAATAATTTAAATATAGACCGACATGAGGTATTTGTAATTATTAATAACTCTGGGTGGTTTCTTGCAGTTTGTTGAGTGCGGCAACTTACCATACATTCGCCAGTCATCATTATCAACGCTATTGTCTCTATCGATGGAGCATCAAGATATTTTAATTTAATTTTAATAAAATAAAAACTTCCTCAATGATGGCCTAGAAAGTGATTTTGTGGACATCAGGAAACGCTGCGGTGGAAGACCATCTTTACGTGATCTCATTAATGTCAAGTCAAGGTCTGATTGCATTATTGCACTAACCGGGTCGCTTGATCGCACACTGCTTTGGTCAGATAAGTGTTTTAAGTGTTGAAAAAAAAACAAGGAGATCAATCTGCAATACAAAGATGTACTACATAAATGCCTGCAGTGTCTATTTCCATCCTCAGGATATAAAACAAATAAAAAAGCTGTAAATTCGGCCGGACCGAACATTGAATACCCTCCACCATTTTGTAAAAATTTGGCAATTTTCAAAAAAATAAAATCCGTTAAAAATTCTGTTAAAATCTTAAAAATACCGAACGTAGCCGTATATTAGGGTCTGTACGACGACGAGGACCGGCATAGGCAACTTTTGTCACAAGCTATTACAATATTCAAATGCGAAATTTAAAAAAAAATCTGTTTATAATGTAGCTAAAATCATCAAAATTCCGAATATAGGGAGGAACCATGGGAGTTGTAAAACGTGGACCTGTACAGACAATTTTTTGTCATAGGCTGTAGTATCCATTACGAACTTCAAATACGAAATTTTAAACAATTCCGGTAAATAATGTCGCTAAAATCACCAAAATACTGAATATCGAGGGGTATCGTTATATGGGGGCTATACGAAGAAGTGGACCTACATGGCCCATTTTTAATACCAAAAGTCCTGCAGACATAATACACATTTAAGTAAAATTTTATCAACCTACTTCATTTCGTTCGGAAGATAGAGTGATTTGACATTGATAAATCGACATAGAATTTTATACTGATAAAGAATATATATACTTTGTGGGGTCTACAATGTATATTTCGAGGTGTTACAAACGGAATGACAAACTTAATATACGCTCCATACTATAGTGGAGAGCATAAAAATGGAAAAACTATTTAGCCATCTATCTGCAGGGAAGGTGGCACGAATGTTTGCATCCTTATTTAAGCTACACACCCAACAACGTACGATGTCGCCGCCACCTACAAAAGAGGAGATACAACAAATGGCTCATTTAATCATCGAAACATTGAATAATTTCATTGAATACGATATTATGAATAATTTCCAAACACAATTATGTGTCCAACTATTGAAATATTGCCACACAGATAGTAATCTACAATCCGATAAAGCCATAGTAAATTTAACAGTTAATCGCATCGGCGCATTGATACAAGAAAGCAACTTTTGTGGCACCCTTAAATGCAGTGTTGCCACCTCATGTGTAATTACACATATCGTGTGTAATTTTTTGTTGCATGTGTGGCCCATGTGTAATTAGTGGCATGTGTAATTTATGGTTTTATTATTTTAACACTTTTTTATAATCCTTCCTTCCCAATTCAAGTGCGGAAAGAATATTTAGCTGATGCTTTTTTGGAAAAGCAAGAAGTGAGCATGATTATGTTCGACACTTGAAGTGGTTGTTTTTTAACAAAAGCCTAAAAAAGCCAAGTGACCACTCCTTTCGCCGGGATAAATTCATGATATTGGAAGCGATCAGAAAATGTTGCAAAACTGTCAGTTTTGAAAACCCCACTCTCCCCCACTCTGTAATAGAGAGTAATGTGAAGATAATAAGCCAACAGGGGAATACCCCAGAATTCAAAAAATACACATAATTATTTTTAAGCTAAAATTTGTTATAAAATGAAATTACGTTTATTTTTGGTCTATATAGTAACTTTTGTTAAAGAGGTAACTTTTATCAAAAGAAAAGAAGTAAAAAAGCTGGAACGAATAGTCCTGACCTGAATAGACAATTTTCTTTCTTAGGCTCTACTATCCATTAAGAACTTCAAATACCAAATTTGAAACAATTCCGGTTAGAAATGTCGCTAAAATCATCAAAATATCGAATATCGGGATGTACCGTTATATGGGGGCTATACAAAGACGTGGACCTGCACAGACTATTTTTTGTCTTAGACTGTACTATCCATTATGAACTTCAAAAATCAAATTTGAAACAATTCCGGTGAATGAATTCGCTAAAATCACCAAAATACTGAATATCGGGAACTACCGTTATATGGATGCTATACGAAGACGTGGACCGGAACACACAATTTTCTGTCTTAGGCTGTAGTATCCATTACCGACTTCAAATACCAAATTTGAAACAATTCCGGTGAATGAATTCGCTGAAATCTAATACCGAATATCGGGAGGTACCGTTATATGGGGGCTGTACCAAAACGTCCATTTTCAATACCAAAAGTCCTGCAGACTAACATACATTTGAGTAAAATTTTATCAATCTACTTCAATTCGTTCGGAAGCTAGAGTGATTTCCACAGACGGACGCACATCGCTAAATCGACTTAGAATTTTATGCTGATCAAGAATATATATACTTTGTGGGGTCTAAAATGTGTATTTCGCGATGTTACAAACGGAATGACAAACTTAATATACCCTCCATACTATGGTGGAGGGTATAAACATGGTGCATGTGCAATTTTCCCCCCAAATGTGTAATATTTTCACCCTCCTTGTGTAATATGCCCTTTCCGTGGTGGCAACACTGCTTAAATGTCAAAATGGCATCTACGGCGAAATACTAAATTGGCCTTGAGGCCTTAAGTTTGTGGCAAATTTGTTCAACCAATCAGAAACAAGATGTTTGTTTATGGCAAAATAATACAGGTAACCGCATCAACGCATCTGGTTTGGAACACAAACCTTAAATAGGAAGTAATAAAAAAATGTAAATAATATTTGAACAATACATATCATAACAACTGTGGTTAAAAGAAAACATTTAAAATTCAACATATTTTTCATATTTTTGCAGAAAATTTGCAGTTATTTTTGATAATATAATAAAAGCTAGTGCTAATGCATCTACCTTTATTCTCCTTCCATTTCATTCGCCAGGGCGAATTCACCATTACAACAACAACTCAACTAGTTTTGACATTTAAAGGTATCTTGTTCATAACATTAGAAGGGGAAAGGTATCGAAGAATTTTTTCCATTTGATCCTGGCAAGAATTCATAACATGGCCGAAATGTCTCCGGGCGCGGGTGAAAAGTTAATAAGTGGTGCAAGCCGAAAATTGGGTTTGGGTCATTTGAAAATGGCCAAATTCATGTTTCTAATCATATCAGCGATTGTCTGTGTTATAATTTTCTATGCCAATACCTCGGTAATTGGTCGAAGGTCCTTGTTTGCCCTGTTCATGACAAAAGAAGACCACAACGGTGACCATGGAGCTGGGGCTGCTGCCTATAGCAATAATGCCGATGAAGATATTGGTGAGAGTCGTATGATCAAAGCTGGACACGATGAGGAGGAAACAACACTGCCACTCAACGAAGAGGATGGAGAAGGAGAACAACAACAAAACGATGACTGGATAATGAGTTCAACAACATCGCGTAGACCTAGAAAGTCGTTAATAATGAAAACCATATTGTTAAGACCGCCCACAGTGCGTAATGCCTCAGTGCAGATTTACAATTTAGCTCCAGGTGGTGGTGGGGCTCCCGAACACATTAGCACCGCCACGGATTACAATATCTTTGTTATTTACACCAAGGAAAACTATCAGTTGCATGTTAAGTTCGAGTTGTTCGCAAAGAGTCTATTAAAGTTTGCCAACTCTGGCATGCTGCTGCATTTGCATGTCCTCACCGATGAAACCAGTGGCCATTCGGTGGAACAAATACTCGAATCCGAAATACGTCGTTATAGACGTAGCATTATCTACAGCCTGTACAGCATGCATTTGTGTGCCGAACAGGTGATGGACATAGTTAACACTATGACGCCTTACTTTAGTTCAACCCCCAAATCCTATTACAGTGATGCCCTTTTCTTCCTCTCGCTGGGCCTGCATCGCATAGCCGATGAAAATATGGAACGTGCAATATTACTCGATTGTGACATAGTCTTCCGGGCCGATGTAAGGCTCTTGTTCAATGAATTCGAAAAATTCGCCCCCGACCATTTGTTTGGTCTGGCACCGGAACTGACGCCGGTGTATCGTCATATTCTGTATCGTTATAGGGCCAATTATCCCCAAACGGATTTTGGCAGTCCCTTCTATTTGCCACCATCCCAACAACAACAGCAGCAGCAACAAATGGCAGCTAATATGGTTTCAGAAGAATCCTCATTGGTTCTTCACAATGGCCATAAACTACATAAACTGGATAGGTTCCATGGTCCGGCTAAACATGGCTATCCTGGTTTAAATTCCGGTGTTGTGCTTTTGCATTTACAACGTATACGTAAATCTTCGCTGTATCACCATCAATTGCAGGATGGTCAGGTGCGAAGATTGACCTCGAAATATATGTTCAAGGGCCATTTGGGTGATCAGGACTTCTTTACCCTATTGGGTTATGAGTTTCCCAATTTAATTTATCGCCTGGACTGTGTCTGGAATCGCCAGTTGTGTACGTGGTGGAAAGACCATGGTTATAGTGATGTGTTCGATAAATATTTCACCTGTAAAGGGCGTATTAAAATGTACCACGGCAACTGCAATGCCCGGGTACCGGAATAGATGCTAGGCGAAGATATTTTTTTCTCTAACATTCCAATAACGAAATAAAACAAAAAATAGGTATTATTCGATCTCGTTTACAATCACTTATCATCATAAAATAGGGTTCATTTCAAAAGGATATGAGTCCTGCCCCCAAAAAAAAACAAAAAGAACATCAAGGATCTAAGGACAATGAAATCAAATCAATAATTAGCCCATTTTAGCAAGTAGTTTAGTTAGATGTTACAACAAGAAATAAAACTATATTAAGATATTTATAAAGAAACAAATATTCCCCTTTTGCCCCCTAGATAACATTTTAAGAGCGAGAGGAAATAACAACAATACACTTAGGTCTGGCAATTCTGCGGAACAACTACAAATATCGTTGGAGGCCGAATTGAACAAAGTTGAAATTATTTTTTAAAAATTCAAATCTTCAATTCAATAAGTTCCTTTTATATGTTCAACAACATTTGAATCTCGTTTTCTTTTTGTTCAGACAGGCCCTAAGTGCATCGCAATTATGTTCGAAATTTTCGAATTATTTATTTTAGAATTACACCCACACACACACCTCCCAGTACATACACAATTACATATTTAAATATATGTATAATTAGAAATTAGTTCCACGTTTTTTTGTTTGTTTTGTTTTCGTTTTTCAATTTGTGATATCCGCTCATTCAAAATTAAAAATTAAATTTTTTAAAAATAAAATTTAAACAAAAACTTATCTTCCTATTCTCAAGAAATGTTTTTCTTCACTCTTAACACATACACAAACATACATTCACACATCTGAAAGATATCTAGCTCTCTTATCGAATATATAAAAATATATACTAAACAACACGAAATTTCAATAATTTATATTATATATTATGAGAAATATATAAAACAAAATAAAGAATAATAATAAAAAAATATATTCAAAAAAAAACTTGGAATTTATTTTGTTTAAAAATTTAAGGAAAGAAACTTGAGACCTCATGGTTTTCTCGGTGAAGAACTTCTTGTTTTCTCGGGGAAGACTTCGTTTTCTATGGGAAGTCCCTCTGGTCTTCTATGAGAAGACTTTCGAGTCTTCTATGAGAAGACCTTCGAGTCTTCTATGAGAAGACCTTCGAGTCTTCTATGAGAAGACCTTCGAGTTTTCTATGAGAAGACCTTCGAGTCTTCTATGAGAAGACCTTCGAGTCTTCTATGAGAAGACCTTCGAGTCTTCTATGAGAAGACCTTCGAGCCTTCTATGAGAAGATCTTGGAGTCTTCTATGGGAAGACCTTCGAGTCTTCTATGGGAAGACCTTCGAGCCTTCTATGAGAAGATCTTGGAGTCTTCTATGGGAAGACCTTCGAGTCTTCTATGGGAAGACCTTCGAGTCTTCTATGAGAAGACCTTCGAGTCTTCTATGAGAAGACCTTCGAGTCTTCTATGAGAAGACCTTCGAGTCTTCTATGAGAAGACCTTCGAGTCTTCTATGAGAAGACCTTCGAGTCTTCTATGAGAAGACCTTGGAATCTTCTATGAGAAGACCTTCGAGTCTTCTATGAGAAGACATTCGAGTCTTCTATGAGAAGACATTCGAGTCTTCTATGAGAAGACCTTCGAGTCTTCTATGAGAAGACCTTCGAGTCTTCTATGAGAAGACCTTCGAGTCTTCTATGAGAAGACCTTCGAGTCTTCTATGAGAAGACCTTCGAGTCTTCTATGAGAAGACCTTCGAGTCTTCTATGAGAAGACCTTCGAGTCTTCTATGAGAAGACCTTCGAATCTTCTATGAGAAGACCTTCTGGTCTTCTATGAGAAGACCTTCTGGTCTTCTATGAGAAGACCTTCTGGTCTTCTATGAGAAGACCTTCTGGTCTTCTATGAGGAGACCTTCTGGTCTTCTGTGAGAAGATCTTCTGGTCTTCTAGCCTTCTATGAGAAGACCTTCTGGTCTTCTATGAAAAGACCTTCTGGTCTTCTATGAGAAGACCTGCTGGTCTTCTATGAGAAGACCTTCTGGTCTTCTATGAGAAGATCTTCTGGTCTTCTGTGAGAAGATCTTCTGGTCTTCTATGAGAAGACCTTCTGGTCTTCTAGCCTTCTATGAGAAGACCTTCTGGTCTTCTAGCTTTTTATGAGAAGACCTTCTGGCCTAATATGAAAAGACCTTCTGGCCTTCAATGAGAAGACCTTCTGGTGATTTCTTTATATTTGTCTGAAAAACCATAAGTGGCTATCGTTAGAGCACTCCAGCATCTGAAAGAGAATAAATCTCTTGTGTCTCATACCATCGCTCGTTATCGTGATACTGGTGGCCTAGCCCGACGTCAAGGAAGTGGACGGAAGAAAACAGCCACATCAGTAGAAATGTTTCGAAAAGTAAAGAAACGACTTGATCGAAACCCGCGTCGCAGTGGCTCGTGAGCTGAAAACATCGCAATATTCCATTCGGCAAATATTAAAAAATGAGCTCGGGGTAAAGCCATTGAAATTCCAAAAAATGAAAGAACTTACACCGCAACAGAAAGAAAATAGGCTCAAAAGAGCTAAAGAGTTGCTTCGCTTGGCCGAACGAAAGTGGTGATGTGTCGAATTTGGTTTTCTCCGATCAGAAAACATTCGTTGTCCAGCAGTTTGTAAACAAACAAAAGAATGATGATCGTGTTTACTTGCCAAAGAGGTCATCTGAAAATGTGCAACTTCGGCCATGGTGATGGTGTGGGCCGCCATAACAGCCGATGGTCGCTCTCCGCTCGTATTAATCGACCATGGCATCAGAATAAATGCCGAGGGTGTATTAAGGCCTTGGGCACGCAAATATTTTGGCCGCAGACCTTGGACATTCCAACAGGACTCAGCACGCGCCACCCAAGAATGGTTACAAAATGAGGTTCCTCGCTTCATTTCCAACGCACAAGGCCGCCAAAATCTCCGGATACCAATTCATTGGACTATTATGTCTGGAGTATTTTGGAAAGCACTAAAAAATACCAAAGTTTCGATCACCTCAAGCAAGCGCTACGCCGGGAATAGGCCAAAATACCGCAGAGCAACATTCGGGCAGCGTGTGACGGTTTCATTGGCCGTTTGAAGGCCATCATTTGTGCCAAAGACTACCAATTCGAAGAAATCTAAACTTATTCTAAAATTTGTTGCTATTTCCGACATCATTTGCTTTCATTCAATAAAATTAAAAAAAAAAAAAAAACTTTAAAAATTATGGCGTTTGACTTTGTTGCAGTTTTTTTATCTCACCCTGTATTATGTTAAGGCATACATACATACATATGTAGTCGTCAGTCTACCACCATTAGCTTATGCTTGCTTATTTCTCTGATATTAAATAAATATAAAATCCAAATTAGTTTTATTTTATTTTTGTGTTTTTTTCAGAATTTTTATTTTTTGCTTTCATTTTTTTGTTGTTCTTGTTCTTGTTTTTTTCTCATTAAATTAGTAAATATTTAACAGCTTAGATTCTAGAAAAAAAGGTAAAATAAATATGCATGGTATATTGTGTGATATATATACTACATATATATGTATATATTATTTGTATATATATAAATAGTATGTTGTGTATATATATAAGTTTGAAAAAATAAAACTTGTATATATGTATATTTTGGGGGGTCTTCTGAATATATATTCATTCATTTATTTATTCATTCTTGCCAAACCGTTTGGAAGGACGAGGATACTCGGTAAAACTTTGTTTTAAAATTCTTGTTTGTTTTGTTGTGAAAATAAAAATGATAAAAATAGGAAATATTGAAAAGAGAATTGAAAATTAAACGCATCACACATACTCACACAACGACAAGTTATAAATATGTAGATGAAAATAATATACAATTGTTGAAGAGTTGATTTGTTTTTCAATTTTAGATAGATTTGAAAAAGATCTTTGTTAAATAATAACTTTTAGCTAAAGAAAAAAATTGAATTACAATCAGAATTGAGGGTATCGTACATATTCGTCTAGGCCGAATGTTCTACAATATATATCCTTTACAGCAATTGTTGTGGCTAAGGAGTTGATTTTTATGTTTTTGGTGTTGGATTTCGTTTATTACTTTATTACTTTCCAAGGATATACCTACTTTTCCCATAGATTTCTACGTGTAGGCTGTTTGCAATGCTCCAGCGTTAGAGAAAAAAAAGGAATCTTAAAACCATTGCAGATTTTTGTTTTATTTTTTGTGGTTGTTTTTTTTAATTGTTTTTTTTCTTTAAGATTATCATAATTAAATATTTATAACACGTTTTCTATAAATACAATAGAGCAATGAGATTGACTAAATTTATAAATTAGCCAAAAATCACCCTAGTCAACAGTAGGTTTTTTTTGTTTTGTTTTTTGTTCTATTTGAAAATTTCATCTTCTTCATACTTTATTTCCGTCTGCTTTTCAACTAAAACTACCACTCATTTTAAAACTATAATCGCACCGCGTCATTTCCTGCTTTCTCATCTATGAAAATTTCTTTTAGCCATAATTCATGAAGAGTAGTTTTCTTTCATTTACTTACAATCTGTAGATCATTTTAAACTATAATATTTTGTTTTTGTTTGTTTAAATAAATTAATTTCTTCATTCCATTGCTGCTCGCTCTATTCAGTATTCAATCTTCTAGTCATATTGTTTTTCTTCTTTTGCTGTTATTTTGAATATTATTTTGCAAATCTACATGGGAGTGATTGAAGGGAGGAGGAGGGGTTTTTAGGGGATTCGAAAGGTTTGGTATTTAATGAATTTCTCTGTATGACCGTCTGTCTTTGTTTTTCTGTTCGCTTCTTTTACATTTTTCCTTTGCATGGGGAGATATAGTGATGTCTGTTGTTTGGGATGCTTCAGGTAATGCCATGAAAAGGGGGATGATAGTGGATCATATTTTCTTCTAACAATCTATAATATAATGACAATGACGATGATGTAGCTGTTAATGATGATGATGGTCCTTGCTGTATGTACGTCTAGATTAAAGAATTTATTTATTTTCTATGGCAGAAATATGATCTGGCGGCTCACTCCTCAGGAAACGTTTCCACATTTGCATGAACAGCATTTCCAAACCCTGGGCGTACTGTTTGCAATCGAACAGGGGACTTTCGTCGCGTGCCTTCCACACTTTGGCTCGCAACGATTTCAAATATTCGCGATCTGTGCCCAGGCGTATGGAAATTTCTTGATATTCTTGGCGGGTACTGGCAATTAATTCAGGACATCCCAAGGTGGCCAATTGTGAGGCAGCCACTCTGTAAAGAAATAAAAAAAAGAAATATGGCATAAATTTAAATTTGTTTAGAAAAAATTGTAAGCTTTTAAAGCTATAAAACCCCTAAGCAATTAATGGGAGAACTTTACAAAAAAAACCTTTGAAAAGGTTTTCATAAAATCGCTGGAAGGTCTTCTAAGAATGGACAATTTATGGAAGATGAACCAGTAAGGAAAAGTCAAAAGTCGGGTGGGGCCGACTATATGATACCCTATCACAACTATACATACAGGGTAAGATGAAAAAACTGTAACCAACTTCAGACTGCTGTCATTTCTAAGCCTCTCGTCCGACAGCTGTTAAGATTATTCCAGTAACAGATCAATATATTGCTTACAAGCGTACAAAAGCATTTTGGTGAGAATTTTCCAGAAAAAAAGTTATTCGTGATAGAATTTATGCGTGATAGTGTGATTTCTTTATATTTGGTTGGAAAACCACAAGTGGCTTTCGTTAGAGCACTCAGGCATTTAAATGTGAAAAAATCTTTTGTGTCTCGTGCCATCGCTCGCTACCGTGATACTGGTAGCGTACTCCAACGTCAAGGAAGTGGACGGAAGAAAACAGAAAAACAGCAGAAATGGTTCGAAAAGTATAGAAGTGGCCGAAAAATGGCACGTGAGCTAAACATATCGCAATATTCCATTCGGCAAATATTGAAAAATGAGCTCGGGCTAAAGTCATTGAAATTCCAAAAGGTGCAAGAACTTACAGAAAGAAAATAGACTCAAAAGAGCTTAAGAGTTGCTTCGCTTGGCCGAAAGTGGTAAGCTACCGAATTTGCTTTTCTCCAAGAGAAAACATTCGTTGTCCAGCAGGTTGTAAACAAACAAAATGATCGTGTTTACTTGCCAAAGAGGTCAGCTGAAAATGTGCACCTTCGGTTGACCACCAGAACTCAAGCGCCGGACATGGTGATGGTGTGGGCAGCCATAACAGCCGATGGTCGCTCTCCGCACGTATTAATCGACCGTGCCGAATATTATCGCGAAAATATTCTGGAGGGTGTATTAAAGCCTTGGGCACTCAAACATTTTGGCGGCAAACCCACTCAGCACGCGCCACCCAAGAATGGTTACAAAATGAGGTTTCTCGCTTCATTTCCAGCGCACAATGGCCACCAAAATCTCCTGATACCAATCCATTGGACAATTGTGTCTGGAGTATTTTGAAAAGCAAGGTTGGCACTAAAAAATACCCAAGTGTCGATCACCTCAAGCAAGCGCTTCGCCGGGAATGGGCCAAAATACCGGCGAGCAATATTCGAGCAGCGTGTTTGCCATTTGAAGACCATAATTCGTGCGAAAGGTGACCAAACCGGACAAATATAAACTTATTCTAAAATTTGATGCTATTTCCGACATTTTTCCCTTTCATTTAATAAATTAAAAAAAAAAATAAATATTGTGGCTTTTGACTTTGTTGCAGTTGTTTTTCTCACCCCGTATAGGCAACCTAGGGAAGATTTTCTATTTATAGACGACCTAAGAAAGGTTTTTTATCTTTAAAAGACCTACGAAAGGTTGTCTGCCTGTAGTAGTCCTCTTTTTTCTATAGATTTTTTTTTTACAGAAAACCTCGTCTAGATTTCTATTTATAAAAGACCTCTTGAAGAATTCCAGATGACGTATATGTGTAGAAGATCTCTAGAAGACTTCAATCTACATAAAACCTTGTGGAAGATCTTCTGTCGAAGATCTGTAAAAGGGATTCTGTGGAAAGAAATCTTTTGCAATGTCTTTCATTTATAGATATACTCTGGACTATCTCCATCCATAGAAGACATTTCTGCATCAAGAAAGGCCCCTGAAAGCTCCTCTATCTACAGGGGACTTGTAAAAATTCTCCCACCAAGTTTATCTCTTATATTGTATTTCAAAAATTTATCCAATTCGAAAAAGAGAACCAACTCTCAACCACTTACCTTGAGGCCAATGTTTCACCCGGCAATGTTACAACTGGTGTACCAGTCCATAGAACGTCCATAGATGTTGTGTGTCCATTACACAATGGTGTATCCAGGCAGACATCAGCCAATTGACCACGGCGAACATGTTCCTCCTTGCATGCAACATTCGAAAATATAACACGATCGGGGGAGACTCCTGGAAAGCAGAAAAAAAACATTACAATCCAATTCATTTTCAACCAGCACTGCACTTTTCCAGCTTACCCATCTCCTCCACTGTCTTCTTGATATTCTGCTCACCCACGGCGGGGAAACGCAATAGCCACAGCACTGAATTCGGCACTGCCTTCAAGATGTTCATCCATGTCTGTAGGGTCAGAGGATCGATTTTATACAGCTGATTGAAATTACAATAGACAATGGCGTCATCGGGTAAATTGTATTGCCTTCTCGTCGTTATGACAATGCTCTGGGGCACCTCCTCGCCAGTGGCTGCCTTATTGTTGGTTTGGGTCGTTGCCAAGCCATTCTGTAGGACCACACCATTAAGCGACGTCTGTATCTGACCCGATGCAATCATGGACACAATTTGTGTGGTGTTGGGTAATTCTGCCACTTTGTGTGTTATTTCCATGGGTTTGCCAGAATTGATCACTTCACGGATCTCCTTAACGCCAGTGTTCTCCACCAGCGGTGAAAGATCTGTGGCATTGATAACGGCCACATTGTCGGCCACAACGGACTGTTGTTTGTCGGCCACAATCAGACGTTCCTTAAGATGTGGGAACATTTGCTTGTGATCCCCAATGAAGTAGGTGTAAGGCATGTAGGCCAATTTCTCACTGTACTGATGGGCCAATTCCATGGGACTTGTTACCGAATCTGTAATAATATAATCCATAAATGAGGCTCCACTGGTGCCGGGATAACCCAGCCACATGACCTGTATGGGAGCCGGCCGCAGAGCGAAAATTTCATTTCTAGCTCCCTTCGTGTAGCCGTTCATATTGACCAATATATGGATGCCATCATTATAGATGCGATCAGCCGCTTTGCCATTGCATGGAATTGTGGATAGGTCAACAAAGTGTTCGGCCTCTTGTGAGATCTTGTAGCGGAACGTTGTGCCATCATCGGGACTCAGCGAATAGCAGAAGATTTCCACTTGCGCCCGATCATGCAGACCCGGTATCGATTGCATTAGATGGGAGGTGGGATGATTGCCGAAATCAGAGCTCACATAGCCAATGCGTATGCGCTCCCCATTGGGCACCTCCCGCGTAAACTTGTACGGTGGCTTGTGCAGCACCAGGATCTTTTCAATGCACAAATTGGCATGACGAGCTGCAATTGCCTTACGGAAATCATGCGACAGTGGATACAACATCGAATGATGTGGATGCACCGAAGGCAAACGATTCTTTTCCAATTGTTCCGCTACAATGCTAACCAGTTTCTTCATACGGGCCTCATAGTCCGTCCAATCGCATACGATCTGTAAACAGTGAGCCAAATTGCAATAGGCATCGGGAAAATCTGGTTTTAGCTTCAAGGCTGTGCGATACGATTGTATAGCTTCGGGTATATTGCCAGAATCCTTGTGAATACTGGCCAAATTGCTGTGAGCATCAGCAAAGGCTGGATTGATTTGAATGGCCCGTGAATAGCATTGCAATGCCCCGGTCACATCCTGTAACTCCTTCAGTGTGTTACCCATATTGGAGTAGGCATCAGCAAATGTTGGATTAATCCGTATTGCTTCCTTGTAGTGCATTAGAGCCTCTTTCAATTTGCCTTGCTGTTGCAAAACTGAGGCTAAATTCGAATGAGCTGCTGCAAAATCGGGAAATACTTCCAAAGCTTTCAAATACAAACGTGTGGCCTCTTCAATAAATCCTTGTTCGCGTTTAATATTGGCTAAATTGTTAAGCGAGTCAGCATGATTGGGGCATAATCGTAGAGCGGTGTTGTAGCATTCTTCGGCTTCTTTGACCTGAAAGAAAAGAAAGCGGTTAGTGACTGATTCAAAAGACGATACATTTCTTTTCTATTGAAGTCCAATAGAAAGGATTCAACCCAATGGGGTTCTTAAAAAGCGGTTCTATCTAAAAATAAAGCTAGAGGTTGCCTCTAAAATGCTTCTCTATACTTTCCATGAATATGAGACATTCTCTCTCTATGGACAGAAAATCTACAGGTTTCCTATAATTAGAAAAGCCTATGCAGTTCTTCTAAATACTCTCTGCTGGTGGTCGATATGTAGAAGACATTTTAATTATTTTTATAACTTTAAAAACTGTAGACCAGGGAGGTTCTGCAGGGTTTCTATGGGTTTTCTAAGAACTCTTTGCCTCAGAGGCTTTATTATTATGATATAAAATAAATAAATGAATGTAACTTCTTCAGATCTTTATGAGTAAAATACTTTCCAGATGCCTTTTAATGATAGCAGATCTTTCTAAGACACTTTTAGCCCTCTAGAAATCACTCTAAAGAACTCCTAAAGGAGGAATTTTTTTCTACAACGTCTTTTAGAGGTCTTTAAACAGATTTTCTACATTTAAAGGTACTCTATTAAATGACTCCGGTCTACAGAAGACTTTTAAAATAGTCTCTTAAAGGTCTCACATTTATAGAGAAACTTCTATGCTATATTTCTATCTTTAGAATATCTCTGCGGGGTCTTCAATATAGTTTATATGTAATATTGTTTGGTTATCCATACCTGTCCCTTTTCCTTGAGAGCATTTGCTAAATTACAATAAGCATCGGGGAAATTTGGTTGCAATTCAATGGCCCTCCGATAGGTGTCTATGGCCAAATCAATGAGACCTTGTTCATAATAGACACATGCCAAATTTCCATGTACAACAGCGTTGTTTGGTGAAAGATTCAATGCTCGTAGATAGGCGGCCACAGCTCTGCAGAAAAAAAGATTTAAACAAATTAAATTATATGACAAAAAAAAAGTGAAAGATATACTGCATACCTGTCAAAAATTCTGGCTTCTTTCAAAACATTGCCCAAATTAATGTAGGCATCCAGGAAATTTGGATCTAATGTTACGGCCTTTTCAAAATGATGTATGGCTAGCCAAATTTCACCCTGGGCATTGAAGACACAGCCCAAGTTACTCCAGGCGACAGCAAAGCTCGGACATGTTTCAATTGCTTTTAAATAGCAGGCCTAGAAAATGCGAAAGGAAATTAAATTAGCAAATGATTTTTTTAAGAGAATGACAAACTTCTTACCTTGGCCTCCTCGAGCCGACCCAATGCCTTTAAGAGATTGCCCAAGTCACTACGAACACAGTACAAATCCTGGAATAGAAATAATACGGTTTAATATAAAGTGTTCAATGTGAGAGGTGTTTGTTTATGGAGTTTTCTACATGGCTGCAGTGGGGGGAGGGGTAAATTAGATTTTTATTAAATATATACTTTAGATTTCTCTTTCCCAAAAAATATTCAGAAACTTATTCTCATTTTTAAACCCCAGAAGAAATTTGAATTTAAACAAAATTATAATTGAAGGCATGTTGAGCTTCATGGATACTCAAAATTTGGACCTTTTGCGTGGGAGGTACCAGAAGGAGTGAACCGATATATCTCAATTTCACACCAAACTTTGGGTTATTAAAAATATTGTGATGTGTTTAATTTGAAGAGAACTAGATGCTTATTTTGGATTTTATGATAGTTTTAGGTATTCAAAACTTTGACCCTTTATGGGGGAGGAACCAGAAGGAATAGTCCGATCTCTACCATCATTATAACAGATATTGTGTTGATGGATATATTAAGATGTACCAAGTCTGAATGGAATCGGATATTAATTTCGCGGTTTATGAGCATCATGGATACTCAAAATGTTGACCCTTTGTGTGGGAGGTACCAGAAGGAGTGGTCCGATCTCTACCATCTTTATAACAGATCTTGTGTTGATGAGATGTGCCAAGTCTGAATGGAATCGGATATTAATTTCGTGTTTTAAGAGCTTCATGAATATTAAAAAAAATTGACCCTTTGTGGGAGAGGTACCAGAAGGAGTGGACCGATATTTTCCATCTTCACACCATAGTCGGACTCTTGCATCACATTTTATGAGTTATAATTATTCAAAATGTTGACCCTTTGTGGGGGAGGTACTCGATGGAGTGGACCGATATTGTCCATTTTCGCACTTGATGTAGCACTGATGCAAATACTAGGATTCGCAAAGTTGGAGCAACATCGGACTATCGTTTAAATTATTTCTTTGAAAATATTGACATTTTGTGGGGGAGGTACCAGAAGGAGTGGACGGATATTGCCCATCTCCGAACTAGGTCTAAGTTTGACAATAATATTACAATCTACAAAGTTTGGATAGAATCGTATACTCCCTTCGAGAGTTATTTTGCGCACCAGCTAGACAGACAGACAGACAGACATGGCTAGATCGACACCAAACGAAACGATTTTAGTTCAACGATTTTTGTTCAAAGAGACCTAGGGTCTAAAACCGTTATTTCAAATCAAATGATCTATAATCTCTCTAGACATATGGCTAAGGGTATAAAGATTTCCTGACAAAATTAGGAAAGAATTTCATTTAATTCATTTGTAATGTTAAAGTGTTCTGCCAAAATTTATTTGACGTTAAATGCATGGATGCAGTCGTCAAATAGATCATGGTGAATAATTACTCATTTTATAGATCTCAAAATAGAATGTAGCCTTGGCTACATGGAGATTTATATTATATACAAATTGGAAAGTAATTACTTACTGGATTGTACTGTAATGCGGTTATATAGGCTTGCACGGCTGCTTCCATTTCACGTGCTGCCACCAAAGCGGCTGCCAAATTAATATAGCCATCAATAAAGTCGGGCTTTAAGCGTACAGCACGTCGATAATTTTCTAAAGCTTCCTGCAATTGTCCACGTTCTTTGAACACATTTCCCAAGTTACTGGAAGGAGAGAAAAATATTTCAGTAAAGTTTTGCATAAAACCATTTCACCATCGTTTCACCTATAAGCTTCAGCCAATAAAGGATTCTGCTTTATGGCCAGCGTTGAAAATTGTGCTGATTTTTCCAAGCGGCGACATTGAAAATGTATGGAAGATAATAGTAATAGCACACCAGTGTTGGTGCTATCTTGTCGCCATAGTTGCATGCAATGTTTTTCGGCATTTTCATAGTCGACCGCCTGGTATTCGCGATGTGCTAATTCCAAAAGGCCTGCAATGAAAAAAAAAAAAGAAAATATAATTAGTATTTTTGTGAGGGACTTTGAAAGATGAAGGCAAGGTAAAATATATACAATTCTTTGGAGATCAATTCCATCAATTTCAGGATTTAAAAACACTAAATTTCATAAAGAACAATAGAGTTTGGAAAGAAGAGAAGAATTCGCCAAAATTAAGTGTTTTTGTTATGACTACCAAAATTCTAATTCAACTAAGAACAGTTTTTACGGCACCGGAAGATTTAAGAACCCGATTTTATAAGGTTTTGAAAGGAGAGAATATTACTATCAAAACATGGCGAATAACCTTTTTAGATTTAAAGTATTTGGTTAAAACAATTTCTTGATGATTTTTATCCGATTTCAGGATTATCATTGACTATAAATTTCCCTCTTAAAAAATTATTGAAACTGGTCAAGCTTTGGGTCCCACGGTTCGTTTTGAAACTTTACAAGTAGCGCTGGGTGCTTTTGTTCAAGATGTTAAGATATGACTTGCTTCACTATATAATTAACTTTTCCGAGAGGTGGGACTTAGTATTCGTCAACGCAACAAAATCTCCTTTTGAGAATTTGGTTAGCGACGATCGGCACAGTCAGCTGCGAAAAAATCTCCTTTTAAAAAGAAAAGTATGTGGATGTGACCGGCTTGAGGAATGATTCCAATGAGTCTATGTTGGTGGTGAATTATGAACTTCATTAGGAGAAAAAAATAAATCGTTATGGTTAGAACCTCAAGTGCTTCCCAGTCCCGTAGCTCGGGAATTGTTAACATTCAAATATTTTTATGTTTAGCCGGAATAGGGTCATATATTTCTCCTTAGGTGAACGTGAAAATCTGGTTCCAAATAGCCCTCATATAATATCAGCTCCTGATACAAAGGATTCTCGAATTGTGCTAAAACCTTTTGCGGGTCCAGAGATATTCTCTTATGGCTATGTTTAACCGGCTATGCGAAATAAAGCTTCTCTCAATTTAACAGTTGGGGCTGAGATTTAGAATCGGGTTATGCGGGTGAAAAGTCCTATCTCTGGACCCAGTAAAGGTATTAATTGTAGCATTTTGGAAAGGTGAGTGTCAACTATACATTGGCATCAATTTTGTTGACCCCCATAATAGACCCCTTTTCGACGTTTTGGGGGTTTTATATAAAATGGAGGTCGAAAAAAATCGATAATTTGAGTATAACTTCCGAACCGCTTATAAATAACCCAATCATGCGACCATTTGTTGGATAGTTATTTTCATAAGCTTTCCCAAAATCAGAAAAAATGCCTACCTCTGAAAAATCGAAGAGTTTTTACTAAACCAGAGTTAAGCCCACAAATGTTCTCTGTCATTTAGCCTTTGGGGTTCCATAGGTACCCGATCCCATTATTTTATATAGCCTCCATATTAAGATATTTTCCGGATTCATGAATTTTAATTAAGTTTTTAAACAAAGTAAAAGTGATTTGGCCAGTGGTGTGCAATGTGGGTAGGAAATTATTCTAAATGAGAGCTTGGTATTGAATATTTTTGAAGTTTCTGCCATTTGAGTTTCTAAGTCGGTGGACCATTTTTCAATACGAATACCTAGTTTCATTTTTTTGTATGGCTTCCATAAATGCTATGATATTTGCCAATGGATTTTTAAAAAAATAATAATAGATCATTTGGCCTATAGGGGTCCTATGTGGGAAGGAAGCTCTTCAAAATGGGTAAAATGGACCCCATACATCAATAACTCCCAATTTCAGAGATTTTCATTCAGAAGCAGAATCAGTAGTCAGAATCACTTCAGAGCTCAGCCTTATGTGGAAATCAAAAAATCATTTCATTCAAATATATATCGAAAGCTTCCAGATCTAGGAATCATCTAGGAAGAATTTTCTACAGGTTAATTTGTTTTCAAATTCCTCGAAACGTCTTGTCAACAAAATTATGTTACACTGCTTAATAATTCCTTACAAGGAATTACCAATTTAATTTATCTCCAAATTAACCAAGTTATTTGATTCCATTAGCGTCCCACAATCAACTCTAGCTACCCCTTGTCAAATGTCAACACTCACTTCTTCCCCTTCCTCCAAAGACTTCTTGATTAACACCTTCATAACATAACAAACAATTATGACACCACCCAGTCCATTCCACTCTTCAAAATACTTATATCATAATTAATCAAAATGATTCTTATAAGAATTATTATTCCATCATACCTTCGGCAGAATCGTTACATTCATTGGTCAAAAACATAAATTGCGACATGATGTTCGATTGTGATTTGTGTGAACGAAAACAGCGAAAACCAACATCCAATCTACTAAATTCGAGATATACGACGCCGCGTGTGTTACACTGTTCATGTAATTGCTGCACTCCGCCACCGCTGACGTCGTCGTGGTCGTCCGTTCGTAGCAGTTATTTCCTAGAACAATTTTCTTTTTTTTTTTTGTAGGTGAAGGATATTTTTGCGGGCCACTAAATCGAACAAAAAAACACTTTTTCTCCTAGAGTATGGGTGTGAGTGAGTGTTTGTGGTGATATTTTCCACCTACTGACCAAGGTTTCTTGTAAAATTTCAAGGGTGAAATGAAATTCTACAAAAAAAAGAAGAAACGAAAAAAAATCAACAAAACAGCAGCAGCAGCAACAGCAACAGAGAATCTCTTATTGAATCTCTCACTAGAGTAAGAAGGAGGGCAATGTTGTCACACAAATGTACACACATTCACGCATACCCCCTTAAAATAATAACAAAACACAGAGCCGCAGCACATGTATGTACGTAGTATACGCCAGTCAGTCACTCACTCGTTTGTTCGTTCAGACGAACTTAGCAGTAGGCCCCACCATACACCACACATAAGTTATACTACATAGGTAGGACAGGGAAGGTAGGGGCATGGCGATTAGATTGCCTGCTACTGATGTAAGATCTCTTTGCTCCCCCGAACGAACATAGAACAAGATTTGCGCTTAAATAAAAAGGTGGTAGTCGGTTCGGTCACCTACACATAGAATTTAGCAGCTAGTATTACAACACCCTATCAAATTATATTGATAGGGGTAGGGTGGTAAGATTTCGGCGGCTAGTGAGACAGAGTGTCTGTTCTTTTTTCATATTACTCTCTCTGGCTTATACTTGCAAATTAACGAAACTGTATACAAAAAAGCCAGAATAGCAATAAGTTGTTCCTGTATTTTTTCTTCTTCTACGTGTTGTTGTTGCATGGCTTTGCGCTGCGATTAGCACACATTACGTATTAAGTCAAGTAACACAATACTGTCATTTTTGTGTAACACTACGGAAAACAATAATACAAAGAGATGGCAGTGTTGGTGTTTGTCTGTTTTTGCACAAAATGTCAGCACAATTACGGTTTGCACTGTACACCCTACTTTTCCGCTCTATTACTTTATTCTTGTTGCTGTTTTTCGTTCCACCTGTCGGTCTTCTTCGCGCACACACTCACTTGCTGCCCGCCGCTGCTGCTCGTTTGATGCACTCCCTAGTAGTAACTGATCAGCCGACTGACCAATCAACATAAACACAAAAGAAATTAAATGAAACACATGTGAGTGGCCGTTGTTGATACTCTTCGGTCATTATGTTGACGTATGTGTCAGAGATGCTCACAATTACACAATTACATTGGTATTTGGGTATGGTGAAGTAGAGACTCTCTCTAGCCCCTTTGCCGAAACAATGACAGGTAGGGTAACCTATATGAAAGAGATAATACAGTGATTTGTTGTTACGATAACGGACGCTTGTGAGTACGCCGTCTGGGATTATTTTCTCTTTTGGTAACCCATTGTTTTTAATAATCAACTAAAATTTTGTAAAATGTATGCCTATGCCGCACCAGACCAATCATCAACGGCTTTAACACAGATTACGGGCAAAAGGGAAGCGACAACGGCAAGGTGTTATCGGAAAATTTTGTAAATTTTACACACACACACACTGTCACTCATACTCGGGAAGAGGGAAAAAAACAAAAATACAAAGAGAAGCTCCAACAAATACCAAAATAACTACTCTGTTGACGGTGTTGCCAACGCAGTGCGATAACACAAATTATTGTGGGGATTTTTTGTTCCAGTTGTTGATTGTAATTATCAATAAATAATTTTTTACACAACTCAATTAAATTACATTTATATGCAATATTGTGTTCACAGTCAAGGGGTTTAACTGTTAATAAAGTAATTTGCCGGAAATTGTGCAACACAAATGGCTTATCTGTACCAATTGCAACTGAAATAAGCTGTTTTCAAAATGCAATGCCCTTGAGATTAAATGTGAAAGAAAATATAGAATGAATTATAAAAATGTTTATTTTTTCCCTTTCAGCCCCATAAAATGATTTTTCGCATAGAAACTGTGTTCAATCAGTCGTTAAAAGTTAATACGTGTAATAACTAACGTCAAAAACGGTATTAGGCTCAGTCAGCCCGAATATTTTGTACCCTCCTTAGTGAGGAGAACTAAATGTGCAAATTGCATTGCACGTCAAGTAAATCCTTCTAATGTTTACATTAGAGCATTTTGCCGGGATAACCTCCCTATGAGGATTTATTTGACGTACATGCAAGTCGGCTATTTAAATTCTGTGAATCTACCAAATCTAGTAAAGCAGCAGGGGACCCCGACCCCCTCCGAAATCCCTACTTTCCTAAAATTTTTTTTCATTCTATTATGGGTCTCAAAATGCATTACATATATCTGGGTATACATCTATAAGCTATGCCAGATATGGACCTACATATAGGGTTATTTTTTTCCGTTATCCTTTTGGGAATACTGGTGAAAACAACGCACGTTTCGTGTTTTGTTTCACTGTCAAACATCTTCTTAAAAACGAACAACGCTTGCAAATTATTCAATTTTATTATCAAATAGCGTGTTTTGTGTTCTGCGGTGAGGCTTATTTTCGGTCAATAAGAAGCAGAATTATCGATTTTGAAGTGAAGTTTGCTGCGGCTTATGGGTGGAATCTTTTGACCACACTTCTTGCAAGGTCCTGCAAATCGTAACATAACTGCGAATTACACGCTTTTTTATACCCTCAGCCATATGGCTAGACAGGGTATATATCATTTGATACGGCTAAAAGTGCCTGAACGAAATAACAGTTTTAGACCCTAGGTCTCTTTGGACCAAATCTGTTTCAGGACATTTGGAGTTGATCTAGCGATGTCCGTCCGTCTTGCTGGGGGGAACAATAACTCTCGAAGGGAGCATCCGATTTGATCCAAACTTGGTACATCGTAATATTATTATCAAACTTAACTCGAGTTCGGAGATGGGCAATATCGGTCCACTCCTTCAGGGACCTCCCACACAAAATTTCAATATTTTTAAAGAAAATAATTTACTGCATAGAAAGAAAAAGGACAATCCAATTTTGTCCCAACTTTGCGAATTTGCATCAGTGCTAGGTCAGGTGCAAAATTGGACACTATCGATCCACTCCATCAAGTCCCCCCCACAAAGGGTCAACATTTTGAATAACTATAACTCTTATAAAGTGTGATGTAAGTGTCCGATTGTCTTCAAATTACACACATCACGTCTGGTGTGAAAATGGAATATATCGGTCTACTCCTTTTGGTACCTCCCACACAAACGGTCAACATTTTGAATAATCATGAAGCTTTTAAAACACGAAATTAATATCCGATTCCATTCAGACTTGGTACCTCTCAATATTTCCTTAAACACAAGATCTGTTTTAAAGATGGTAGAGATAGGACCATTCCTTCTGGTACCTCCTACACAAAGGGTCGAAGTTTTGAATAACCAAAATGATCATAAAATCCAAATAAGCATCTGGTTCTCTTCAAATTACACACAACACAATATTTTTATTAACCCAAGGTCTGGTGTGAAAATGGAATATATCGGTCCACTCCTTCTGGTACCTCCCCCACAAAGTATCAAATTTTTCAGTACCCATGAAGCTCATAAAACGCAATATTAACATCCGATTTCATTGAGACTTGGTATATCTCAATATTTCCATCAACACAAGATCTGTTGGTAGAAATCGGAAAATTTAATCTGTTACCTCCCCACATAGGGTTGAAGATTTTGAAAAACAAAACGCTTAAAGAAAGCGAAATCATCATCTAACTCTCTTCCAATTTCACAAATACAAATATTTTTGCTAACAGAAGATCTGTTGTGAAAGTTATATATATATCTGCCAACCCCTTCTGGTAGCTCACCCACAAAGGGTCACAATTTCCAATCTTATATCTGTCATTAGTTGCGAAACAAGTCAGTGATTCTTTACAGATCAGTAGTATCAGTATTGTTGTTTTCTGAATTCTATTATCAAATCACATCAAATTTCTTTGGGTTTAGATCTGGCTAAAGGTGAAGAGATTTTAAATCATCACAAAGTTTAGTTTATGATGGGATCATCTTTTATGACAGGGTCTTGATTATAGACTGACTGGAAGCTTCAGAAAGCGGTTGCGGAAGCCATATCAAAGGCCTCATATTACGGTAACTCGTCGTTAAGACAAATTCGGAAATGGCTGTCAATTGATGTTTGAAATCTCCACCGTTAGAAGATACTCGTCCAAAAACTGCACCTTTTGGAGGCAAATTTGTCACATCAATACATTAAATTGGCCATAGGTTATGGCATATCTTCCTTCCTCTAAAAGTGATCATTCCGGTGCCTGAATTCGACACCGATTTCAAGTTGTCTTTTTCAATTACGCTTCAAATATTATTGCATCATATTGTAATTAATAAAGCTTATTAAGGAATGTTATCAATAATATACATATGCATGTTTTTTTTTTGGTGAGCTAAGGTGGGGGGAACACCAGCTACTATATCCTATAAGTCCATTTATATATATATTCATATCATCATTTCTATAGAGGCACAGCCAGCCAGCCAGGCAGCCAACATTCAAAACAACTTATGACAACTCTTTTTTTTTTCGTGTGTTGTGTGCCTGCTTTCTGCTTCTGTACGCAAATACACAAGCACATGCTTTTTGCTCACTCGCACGTTCAATACTGGCGTACATTCGTACACACAAATACACGAAAAAAGAAAACGTACATACATACATAGCTGTATATATATGTGTACATCATATCAGTCAAGCGCGTAATCACTTGCAATACATATAAGAAGCTTGCTACTGGCTGCGACGGCTGCTAACCCTCCTCGTCCTCCTGTTTCTATTCGAATAATTCAATAAAATACTAATGAGAAAGGAGACAGGTAATGTTCGGATACGATTCTACTTTGCTTTGGTGTGCCACCACCAACACCAACATCACAAACTGTTGTCATGTTTTGAAAAAAATTTCTAGAGAACCTCCCTGCTCTTCCTGATATGACCTACAGGGTCCACGAATTAAATTATTTTCTAATGGCTTGGCTTCCTTTAATTAATCGAAATATTAGAAATAATCAATGTAAACACACACACGCACACACTTACCCACAGTTGACAAATTCGGCGGAGTGTCATTGATCTTGCCCACTGTATTGCCTTGATTTTGTAGCAATTGTGTCTGCTGCTGCATCAGTACCGCCGCCGCCGCCGCTGACGACTGTTGTTGCTGTGTTTGTTGGGCTGGCTGCAATTGCTGCGAATTTGGATTTGGCGATTGCTGACTTTGCATTTTTGTTGCCTAAAATGGGGGAACATAAATTGTTGTTGTTGTTATTGTTGATTACTTTTTCTGGCAAATAGAGACACAAAAGGATAACACAAAACATAACAAGACGCACGCACGCACACACATACACACACGAAATTTGTCCGTTCAAAATGCACTTGAATGTGCATGCAAATTGTATTATTGTTGCTTTTGTTTCCTCTCTCTCTCTATTTGGTTTTCCTTGGGAAGAACAATATTGCCAACACTGCATCCATAATATTTTTCTCTATAGGCGATGGAAAAATTCTTTTCTATATTATTGCCAGGTTCCGCAGCTGTAACAGCCGACGAGTGCCAGAGTGAGAGAGGACAGCAGGCTGGCTGGCTTTAGTAGCTACACATCATGACAATTGCGACAGCAGCCAAGCAACGACCAAGTGTCCAATACACAAAAATATATACATATAACAGCAAGCGATAAATAACACCACCAACAATAACTAACTAACTAACTACCCGAGACGAGAGACCGACCACAGAAAGAAAGAATGAACAAAAAAAAATTGATTTGATTTAATTACACAAATCTCCTCCTCAACAGCGAGCCGAACGAAGAAAAGGCGACGTTTTCTCGACGACAACAATAAAAGACTCTGGCTGCTGCTACTGCTTTCCTCGTTGTTGTATCCAATTCGTCAACTTTTTCCTTTCGTTTGTTCTTGTTGTTCTGGTATATAAAATTTACAACAATTGTTTCCACTTCGACTTCCTTTTGTTTACGTATAAATTGACAACATAATTAACAACTCCTCTTGATTTATTTTATTTATTTTTTTATTTTTGTTTCGAGACACGGGCTCTTCTCGCACTTCACACACGCACACAGATTCATAAATAATTCGGATGATGGCAGAGTGTTGCCGTACATTGGAAAATGCTGTATGTGTGTTGCCAACCTCAATAACATTTGGTTATCATTATAACTAATCCGGTTACTTTTGTGTTCTAGAAGATTCCCAATTGGTCATTCTTCTTAGGGGTGCTTTAGGCTGTCTGTTTCGCGGGAAAAGTTTGTTTTTTGAAATAGAAAGGGACAAAAAAATCTTCTAATGTCAGATTTTAGACAATTACTTTTGTGTTTTTATTTTGATACAATAATATTAATAACAATAACGGAAAAGCTATTTATGAAAATTGCGTTGCATAAATAACTTATTTTAAATAGTATTTTAAATGAAGGTTCTTAAATTATAAACTGGTTCTAAAATGGTTTTTAAGAAACTCATATAGATCAAGTCGACTATTATTGTATTGCAAACAAAAATGTTCTTTTGTAATCATGATTGAATTAAGAACGGCATTTCATAGGTCAACTTGGTTCAAATTATAAGGAAAAAGACGACAGGATTGTGCTCTGGCATTCTTTTATATGTCCCAAAATATGCCATGCCAAGACTTCAAGCAGCTTATGTATGCAACAAGCATATAAATTACTGTGAATTATATAAACGGTATCTTCTTTGATGCTTCAAGGCCAGGGAACATCGGTATGTCAACATTTTTAAAAAGTTTGTTTGAAAGCAATTCGATTTTTTTAACTTTTCTTACACAATGCCGTTCGGAATTTGTTATGGTATGTATTTTTCAACAACTTTAACAAATTTAAATAATTTCTCATTAAAATTTTTAAATCCAGCAGGTTTGTCGATGCGGCTACCTGGGAATTAATTTTGTGTTTTTACACAGAAATGACAATGACAACAAAAGCAACGGAAAAGCAAAATTGCTGAAATCAAATCTTGCTGAGATCAAATGAGAACGATATAAATCATGGTAGGAGAATACAGGTAAATACATCAACGCTTGGGAGCATTGATATGTCAAAAAAAATTAAATGTTTTTTTAAATATAAGTAGATTTTTATATGTTTTCTTATACGATGTCATTCGGAGGTTATTGTAATTCGCGCTTTTAAACAATTTTTATAATTCTAAATAATTTTTCATTCATCATTTTCATTTCCTAAACTGGTTTGACAGTTAATTGTCCCAGCAGCTGTGTCGATGCGTCTACCTATATTTTTCTACTATGATACAAATGGAGTCTGAATCTGTCACAGTGGGAACAAATAGGCGTCTTCTTCTTTCTCCATGACAATTCACTGGAAATGCTACCCCTCTTTAAATTTAAGAACATTCGGCGTGTTGCCTCTTCCATTTTCTACACATTCGGCGTGTTGCCTCTTCCCTCATTCGCAACTCTCAACGTATTGGTGTATATTTGTATAAAAGTTGTCAATGCATTGGTGTACAGAGTTCACAGAAATGCAATACGCCGTCGCCGGTTGGTATACATCTGATAAACCGCCGCCGTTGACAACAAGTGTTTAGCTTCGTTGTTTGTGCATGCACGTGTTGACGGAACATTTTCACATAAAACTTTATTTTCTTGAATTACACGTTATTTTATAAACAGTAGCTAAAATAAAATGCCTAGATCCAAAAGAGATAAGAAAAGTAAGTGAATTGCTTTCGTTTATATACCAAGATTGTTACTATTAACAATATATCATTGCAGTTTCCCTCACCAAAACCGATCGAAAAGGTCTCGCTTGGAAACAACAGATTATTGAAGACATCAGAAGATGTGTGGAGAAATACCCCAATATATTTGTGTTTCAAGTTCAAAATATGCGCAACAACTTGCTGAAGGATCTGAGACAAGAATGGAAGCAAAATTCACGTTTCATTTTTGGTAAAAATCGCATTATGCAAATCGGTTTGGGCCGCACCAAAGCTGAAGAAGTTGAAACAGATTTGAGCAAATTGTCCAGACGGCTGACGGGCCAAGTGGGTCTTCTGTTTACGGAGAAAAGCAAGAAAGAAGTTTTGGAATGGGCTGAAAACTATTGGGCTGTTGAATATGCACGCAGTGGTTTTAAGGCAACAGAGACTGTGGTGCTACCAGAGGGTCCCTTGGAAGAGTTTTCACATTCCATGGAACCGCATTTAAGATCGCTTGGACTGCCAACAAAACTACAAAAGGGTGTTGTGACGCTCGTCTCGGACTATACGGTGTGCGAGGAGGGAAAGGTTTTGACACCCGAACAAGCCAGAATACTTAAATTGGTTGCTAAACCCATGGCAAAGTTCCGTCTGACAATGAAGTGTTCCTGGACAAAAGCAGATGGCTTTGAATTGCACGTTCCTGATGATATCAACGATGATGAAGAAGATAAAGCCGACAGCGGTCAAGGCGAAGAAGTTGATGACGACGATGATGGAGAGGCAATGGATCAGGATGAGGATGAAGATTCTGATGAAGATGAGGAAGACGATTAGAGTACATATGTATTTATGTAGTGCTAACAAATACTTTAGTTTAGTTGAAAATATAGCCATAAGATTTATTTTTTCATTAAAATTAAATTTATATAAAACTAATGAGTTGTGAGATTTTATGCTGAGGATGAAACACTACCGCTACCGCCACCACTGCTGCCGCTTTTTTTGGTGGACTTGTATACAATGACATAACGTTGGGCCACTGGCAAAGGTTCGGCATAACCATTGGAATAGGAAGAGTCCTCGAACAACACCTCATAATCTTCTGTGGCAGTTTGGGGCAATCTGTGAATGATGGCCTTATAGAAACATGTCGTTTGGGGATATAAAGCCATGACTAAAAAGAGTATTACATTAGAATTTGATAAATTAGTGAACATCTATTGTTAAACATACCCACTGTATCCTTGGGAAATAGAGCATGACCATCTGTTTCAGGATTGGCCCTCATCAGGGGCAATGGTATAACTTTACGTTTACTCAACACATGTCGATCCTTTTGTTCTTCATCAATATCAATGACATCGTATTTATTCTGACGATGCAAAAAACTAACCACTTCCGCTAATATCCAATTTTCCTCCTCCTCCACTCCTTTGACCAAAGCCGCAACATTGTCGCCCACTTTGGCTATGTAATTACTTTCAGCTGGAATAGCACCACACAATGGGGGCACTTTTTCACCCGGTTTGCTTACAAATAGTGGTAGTGTCTGTGCCGATATTTGCACCATTTTCATAAGGGCACCTCTTCGTATGGCCTCTTTGTTGCCGGCATTACGTGCCTGAATACGTCGTTCGTTGCGTATGCTACGAATTTCATGTATCTTTTCTAGGGCTTTTCGTATGGTATCCTCTTCGACAGCCGCATCTTGTAAACAGGCCTTGTATAGACCTTTCATCTTTTGCATTGGGATATTGCTCTGTTGTGCCCGAGTCAAGCCATTTATATTGGTTTCCGACCGGCGTCGTTCATCGTCAATTTGGTGGATTAACCGTTGGATATCCTTGAGCCGTTCCTGTAAGACAATGTATTACAAAGTCAAGCGGAGAAATTTAAAGGGAAGTAATAAAAACATTACTTGTATTTGCTGTGCCGCATTTTCCGCAGTTAGAGGCATGTCTATTTAACCTCTGGATTCCGTAAAGATAGCTCGAATACTTTTGAATAATTAAATAAATAAACAAAACGAATAAAGGAACACTTCGAAAAGCGTCGAAAATAATATTTACTAGGGATTAATAGATCGAAAAACGAACACAATATTAATCAAAACATGTACAGCTGACTAGAGACATAGGTGCGTTGATGCATCTACCTGTTTTCTTCTACCATGCCAGTACCTCGTTTGCGATAACAGGGGCCATCATGGTTGGGCGAGGTTGATATTTTGGAAAGGAGATTCGTTATGTACAAATTTATTGTATTCGCATCACTTTTCCACTGACCCCCATTTACAACTAAAAAATATAAAAAATGAAAAAATATTAGAAAGAGCCATGGCTCAATAAGAAAAGTTGCTCAATTTCAAAGAACCTAGAAAAATGCAACTCTGTGCAGGAGTCTTATAGTGCCAAATAGACCATGGCAGAAGAATATAGGTAGATGCATCGACACAGTTGACGGGACAATAAACTGTCAAACCAATTTTGGAATTGAAAATTTTGAATGAAAAATTATTCAAATTTGTTAAAAATGTTGAAAAACGCAAATTATAATAACCTTCGATTGACGTTGTATAAGAAAACTTATAAAAATCTACTTATATTTGAAAAAAAAAAAAAACATTCAAAAAATTTTGACGTATTAATGTTCCCAAGCGTTGATGCTTCTACCTGTATTCTTCTGCCATGCAAATAGACTTTGAAATAGGCAATAGTATGGTAGAAGAAAACAGGTAGTAGCATCGGCACAGCTGCTGGGACAATGAACTGTCAAATCAATTTTAAAATTGATATTTATGAATGAAAAATTATTTAAATTCTTCAAAATTGTTGAAAAATGCATATTATAAGTACCTCAGATTGGAGTCGTATAATAACACATACAGGGTGAGAGAAAAAAAACTGGAACAAAGTCAAACGACATAAGTTTTACATTTTTTTAAATTTTTTTGAATGGAAGCAAAAAATTTCGGAAATAGCATCAAATTTTAGAATAAGTTTGGATTTGTTCGAATTGGTCACCTTGGCACGAAATATGGCCTTCAAACGGCCAATGAAGCCGTCACTCGCTGTCCGAATGTTGCTCTGCGATATTTTGGCCCATTTCCGGCGAAGCGCTTGCTTGAGGTGATCGACACTTTGGCATTTTTTAGTGCCAACCTTGCTTTCCAAAATACTCCAGACAAAATAGTCCAACGGATTGGTATCCGGAGATTTTGGTGGCCATTGTGGAAATGAAGCGAGGAACCTCATTTTGTAACCATTCTTGAGTGGCGCATGCTGAGTGCGATGGTGCTGAGTCCTGTTGGAATGTCTAAGGTTTGCGTACCCAAGACTTTAATACACTCTCCAGAATATTTTGGCGATAATATTCGGCATTTATTCTTATGTCACGGTCGATTGATACGAGCGGAGAGCGACCATCGGCTGTTATAACGGCCCACACCATGACCATGGCAGGCGCTTGGGTTCTGGTGGCCAACCGATTATTTTGTTTGTTTACAAACTGCTGGACAGCGAAGCAACTCTTTAGCTCTTTTGAGTCTATTTTCTTTCAGTTGAGGTGCAAGTTCTAAAACTTTTTGGAATTTCAATGGCTTTACCCCGAGCTCATTTTTCAGTATTTGCCGAATGGAATATTTCGATATGTTCAGCTCACGAGCCATTTTTCAGTCACTGCGACGCGGGTTTCGATCAAGTCGCTTCTTTACTTTTCGAACCATTTCTGCTGATGTTGCGGTTTTCTTTCGTCCACTTCCTTGATGTCGGGCTACGCTACCACGGTAACGAGCGATGGTATGAGACACAAAAGATTTATTCACGTTTAAATGTTGGAGTGCTCTAACGATAGCCACTTGTAATTTTCCAGCCAAATATAATGAAATCACACTATCACGCTTGAATTCCATCACGAATAACTATTTTCTGGAAAATTCCCACCAAAATGCTTTTCTACGATTGTAAACAATAGCTGTCACTGGAATAATTTTAACAGCTGTCGGACTAGTGGCTTAGAAATGAAAGTAGTCTGTAGTTGGTTGCAGTTTTTTCATCTTAGCCTGTATATATATATAAAATTTCATTTTTGTATGTCCGCATTTATATTAGGCATAGTTGTTGGAAAGAGAGGCAAAAGGAATAGATATGAAAACAAATTATCATACTGACACTTTTTTGGCAATTCCTTGTGGGTGTTTATTTTGTACCAAAATATTAACAACAATGACAGAAAAGACATTTGATGAAGCGCCAAAATTGCTGAAACGATAAAACTTTCCATTATTAAACTCACCTAGTATAAATTAGGACAACAAGCAAATCCCATGTTAGTCCGTGGGTGAACATGTTGTCTCCGTGTGTGAACATGGTCTTAGCTTCCATACGCAAATATATTCCATTTGAAATCGAAGACTTTTTCAATTTGCTTTTCACTGACATTCTTCTCGACTGGCAACACAAAGAAAACAACTCCAATGACAGAAGTAATTCTCGAATGACTGACATTGAAAAGAAAAGAGATTCATTACAAAACGACGAACAAAAAGCGAAATTTGTATTGTGTAAACAAAAACCTAAAAAACCTCCAGCTGGATTTGTCCAAATAGCTTTGTAGCCATCGAAAAAGAAGTGCCAAACATCAACATACGTCCCCCCAAATGACTTTTGATAATTAACGAGACCATAAGGAATTTTTGATTTTGTTGCGTTTTATTTTTCTTTAATTTGCAAACAAAGAAATAGAAAAAAGAACAGAAGCAGCAGGCGTCGTAATGGGCAATGCAGGAAGTTCAAGCATGCATAGGGAGCGTCACAAGTCTAGTGACATCTCAACGCCGAACTCACCTTTCAGAGAGCTACCTCAGCGCGGCGATGGTGCTGGGAGTGTTGGTGGTGGAGGAGGCGGTGGTATGGCGGCCGTAAGTGGTGGTCAGGCATTCACGTTCGACAAAAAACGTGATTCAGTATTGGCAGGTGGCTCGTCGCAAGAAGACGACGAAACAACATCCGAACCTTACTATACGAAAATTGGCAAAGCCTCAACCGAACAGTCGGCCTCCGACCCCTCAGACCCATTAAGCTCAGCTGAAACGCGCAAACGCTCTAGCAGCGTAACAGAGGGGGGCACAACTCCCAAGGAGATGACTTCACACGACACCACGAATGACAGTGAGTCGGTAAAGGAACAAGAAACTGGAGAAAACATGGAGTCACAAGACGACGAAAAGAATCCATCGTTTATTCCAACGGTTCTACGTTGGGATGGTGGCGGTCACAATGTTATGATTTGTGGTACCTTTACTAAATGGAAACCCATACCCATGGTACGAAGTCATGGTAATTTTGTAACAATTATCGATTTACCCGAAGGAGATCATCACTACAAATTCTATGTGGATGGTGAATGGAAACATGATCCGAAATTGGTAAGTTTGTTTACTTTATTCATGGAAAAAACAGTGACAACAACAACAAAATGCAAATGAATAAAAACAAAATCAATAAAACAATTTGGCAGGCAAATGCGACGCAAATATGTTCAGACATGCATACATACATATGTACGTACGCACATACATTGTATGTTTATCTATTGTTTATGACATGTATTTAGTTGTTGTGCAATATTCTCAATTATCAGGTTGACTGACGCTGACTGATTACACATTAACAAGAGCAAATCAATTTGTTTCTTCTATCTAATAGAAATAGAATGTCAATATATCGGATATCTCTGATACCTACTCCACAAAAGGTCAACATTTAGCGAATAGATTTTGATATAATTCCAAGACATAAACTCTAGGGGTCTCCCTCTTTTGTTACCTTGAAAATTCATAGAGTTCATATAGAACGAGAGAGTACTCCATTTGATGAATAATTTATCGTGCCGTAACAAAAAAAAAAAAATAAACCATGAGACCTCCGTGAAATCTTCAAAAATAACAATTTTCCCCAGAGATTTCTTACAACGGCCTTAGGGTGGGAATAAAAATCTGTAATCAAATCAAATAAATACTGCCACCAAATCAATTTTTGCAAGTCATATATCCATTATTACCCAATATATAATCGGAACATCACTTAGACATATAACATAATAATAATTATTTTTTTTCTTTTCAGAAAAGCGTAGAAAATGACACGGGCGAAACCACAAATTTGGTTTCGGTACGTCAATCTGATTTTGAAGTATTTCAAGCTTTAGCCAAAGACAGCGAAAATGCCGTAAACAACGCCGATAAGGAGTATTCACAAGAGGTGCCACAAACCAAGCCATGGGAAAAAGTATCCGGTCCACCAATATTGCCGCCACATCTCTTGCAAGTTATCCTGAACAAAGATACACCATTGTCGGTAAGTTGGTGGGGAAACAGAAAAATTTGTATGAGGAACCTCTCCGGTCTTTTGAGGGAAGATGTTCTGGCTTTCTCAGAGAAGACGTTTGGTCTTCTACGAGAAGTAGCTTTTTGCCGTCTAGAAGAAAACCTTTCGTTGTCGAAGGGAAGAACTTATGGTCTTCTTTGAAATGGCCTTTTTGAGTTTTATGAGAAGACCATTTGGTCTTCCATGAGAATACCGTCTGCCCTTCTATGAGAAGACCGTTTTGTCTTCTATGAGAAGACCCTTTGGTCTTCTATGAGGAGATGTTTTATTTTCTATGAGAAGCCCTTCTGCTCTTCTGTCCTTCTATGAGTAGACCTTTTGGTCTTCTATGAGAAGACCTTCTGGAGACCTTCTGGTCTTCTATGGGAAGACCTTCTGGTCTTCTGTGGGAAGACCTTCTGGTCTTCTATGGGAAGACCTTCTGGTCCTCTATGGAAAGACCTTCTGGTCTTCTATGGGAAGACCTTCTGGTCTTCTATGAGAAGACCTTCTGATCTTCTATGAGAAGACCGTTTGGTCTTCTATGGGAAGACCTTCTGGTCTTCTTTGGGAAGACCTTCTGGTCTTCTATGAGAAGACCTTCTGATCTTCTATGAGAAGACCGTTTGGTCTTCTATGAGAAGACCTTCTTGTCTTCTATGAGAAGACCTTCTGGTCTTATATAAGAAGAACTTTTCGTCTTCTATAAGAAGAACTTTTCGTCTTCTATGAGAAGACCCTTTGGTCTTCTATGAGAAGACCTTTTGATCTTCTATGAGAAGACCGTTTGGTCGTCCATTAGAAGACGTTTCGGTCTTCTATGAGAAGACCTTTGATCTTTTATGGTAAGACCTTTTGTCTACTACCTTTTGATCTTCTATGAGAAAACCTTTCCGTCTTTTATGAGAAGACCTTTTGTCTTCTATGGGAAGACCTTTTGGTCTTCTGTGAGAAGACCTTTTGCTCTTCTATGAGAAGACCCTTTCGTCTTCTATGAGTAGAGCCTTTTGTCTTCTATGAAAAGACCCTTGGTCTTCTATGAAAAGACGTCATTTTGGACTTCCATGAGAAGAACCTTTGGTCTTCCATGAGAATACCGTCTGCCCTTCTATGAGAAGACCGTTTTGTCTTCTATGAGAAGACCCTTTGGTCTTCTATGAGGAGATGTTTTGTCTTCTATGAGAAGCCCTTCTGCTCTTCTGTCCTTCTATAAAAATCCTTCTGGGCCTTTTTGTCATCTTTGTGAAGACCGTTTGGTCTTCTATGAGAAAAATTTTTTATTCTGCTGGGAGAAGACCAATTAGTCTTCCTGAGAAGACCTTTTGGTCTTCTATGAAGAAGACCTTTTGGTCTTCAATTACAAGGTCTGTAGAAAACACCGTTTTGTGTTCTATGAGAAGACCTTTTCTTTCCTATGCAAAGATATTTTGCTTTTCTCTGAAAAAGGGGGCTTCCTCAATGAGGGCGCCTATAACTCTTCTATAAAAAAAAACCTTAAATAACTAATATAACATTGTTATTCCTGTCTTTACATTACAGTGTGAACCAACATTGTTGCCTGAACCAAATCATGTCATGTTGAACCATTTGTATGCGCTCTCGATTAAGGATGGTGTTATGGTGCTCAGTGCAACACATCGCTATCGCAAGAAGTATGTCACCACCCTGTTGTACAAGCCAATATAGACATGTGATAGATCGATAACCATCTAACTAATATTTGGTCCTTGCTACCTATTTAAAAAAGTTAAATTTTATCAGTTTCTTTTTGTTGTAATTTTGAAATACACAAAATGAATTATGCTTCTATTATATGTTGTGTACAAAGGTATTGTATCATTCAAATATTTTACACAAAATGAAAGTTATGGGCAAGTGTTGTTTTATTTTAATTTTATTTAATCGTTTAGTTATAATATTAACATAAAATTTCGATGTAATCTATATATTTACCTAACCAAAAAGAAATAAAAAATATTAAAATAAAAAATGAAAAAAAAAAAATCAAACGTGAAATTGTGTTTCCATTACTTTATTTCATTTGACTAGTTCGTTTCTTTTGATTTTGTCATAGGTAATTTTTAAATACATTATTTATTGTTGTTGTCATTTATGTTTTGTTGGGGTTATTGTATAATATAAATGTTATTTTTTTTTTAAATTTGTAATATTTAATTATTATTATTGCTTGTTAAAATCCAAATTTATTAGCAAAATGTTTTTTTGTTTTGTTTTTATATTGAGATGTGTTTTTTTAGTATTTTTAATTAAAGCCCTTTTGATCACAAATTATGTGTTGTTGTTTTTTTAATAGATATGTGCTGCTTAAATGAGGTACAAACTATGTATGTCTTCTTTTACGTTTTAATTTTATGAATACAGGGGGGTGAGATGAAAAAACTGCAACCAAGTTCAGATAGCTGTCATTTCTAAGCCACTTGTCCGACAGCTGTTAAAATTATTCCAGTGACAGTACATTATATTGTTTACAAGAGCACAAAAGTATTTTGGTGAGATTTTTCCAGAAAAAAAGTTATTTGTAATGGAATTCAAGCGTGATAGTGTGATTTCTTTATAATTGGCTGGAAAGCAACAAGTGGCTATCGTTAGAGCACTCCAGCATTTAAATGTGAGTAAATGGTGAACTGCCGAATTTGGTTTTTTCCAATAAGAAAACATGCATTGTCCAGCAGTTTGTAAACAAACAAAATGATCGTGTTTACTTGCCAAAGAGGTCAACTAAAAATGTACACTATCGGTTGGCCACCAGAACTCAAGCGCCGACCATGGTGATGATGTGGGCCGCTATAACAGCCGATGGTCGCTCTCCGCTCGTATTAATCAAACGTGGCATCAGAATAAATTCCGAATATTATCGTGAACATATTCTGTAGGGTGTATTAAAGCCTTGGGCACGCAAATATTTTAACCGCAGACCTTGGACATTCCAACAGGACTCAGTACGCGCCACCCAAGAATGGTTAGAAAATGAGGTTCCTCGCTTCATTTCCAGCGCACAATGGCCACAAAAACCTCCGGATACCAATCCGTTGGACTATTGTCTTTGGAGTATTTGGGAAAGCAAGGTTGACACTTAAAAATTCCAAAGTGTCGGATACCTCAAAATCAAGCGCTCCGCCGGGAATGGGCCAAAAAACCGCAGAGCTACATTCAGGCAGCATGTGAGGGTTTCATTTCATTTTTTTCATTTTTTTTGAAGGCTATAATTCGTGCCAAAGGTGACCAATTCGAACAAATCTAAACTTATTCTAAAATTTGATGACATTTTTGCTTTAATTAAATAAAATTTAAAAAAGGTAGTATTTCGACGCAGAATGAAAAATATCAAGACATTTACTTGGAGCTGGTGTATTTAGTAACAGCCTTGGTACCTTCACTGACGTCATGCTTAGCCAATTCACCGGGCAACAATAGACGGACGGCGGTCTGGATTTCCCGACTGGTGATGGTTGAGCGCTTGTTGTAGTGGACCAAACGAGAGGCTTCGGTGGCAATACGTTCGAAGATATCGTTGACGAAACTGTTTATGATGCTCATAGCCTTGAAGGAGATACCGGTGTCGGGATGGACTTGCTTCAACATTTTGTAAATGTAGATAGCGCACGTAACTCTCCTTACGCTTGGTACGTCTCTTCGACTTGTGGCCCTTGGTTAGGTTCTTTTGGTTATTTTGTTGCAGTTTTTACATCTCACCCTGTATGTCTTTTTTTTCGTTTTAATTTTATGAATACTATTAATTATTTAAAACAATTATTATTATTTATGCTTGAACAAGTGTTTAGTTTTAGGAGATTTTTCTGTTTGCAAATGACACTAGCCAACAAAAAATGTGGTGTGGTTTTCTTAGGAAATCAATTTGATTTTAATCCGATTTTATTTTATTTTTTATATTCAAGAAATTAATAGATTTTTTGGTGGACGGGACTTAATCAGTTGAGGTTTTATTTAAAGTCAATAAATTTCAAATTTCGATAAACTAACTTATAACAAAGTAAACTTGTAAATTGAACATTTTCAGGATATTTTTTAAAACAAAGGCAACGGATAAATAATTGTAATTGTTTTTTTTTAAGAATATTTTTTTTTTAAATTTAAATAACAATAATTGTAGGCTAGTGTTTTTTTTTTTCTTATCATATGGCTTTATTATATAACAAGATAATGGACATGATAAAATATCTTTTGAATACCACTATTTTATGCTATAACTACCAAATGTTAAAATTCAAGCATGAAACGACAGACTTAAAAGGAACAATAATTGTCATCTTCGATGTTACAGTGAATTGAGTATTGCATTGTTTTGTTTTTTGTTTTTTTTTATTTCCTATTCTTGCCTAATTAATAAATATGTATGTATACTTTTGTAGAACTTTTACTACTATGAGAAAATTTTGTTAATTAATATTGTTTTTCAAATTTTCTTTTAAGCTTTTCTTGTCCTCTCAAAAACAAAATGTTAACAGTTCAAACGAAAATGCATGGTTTTTCAGATTTGCATTTAAAGCTACATATCTTTCTTCATTAACTCCTCCAGCTGTTCGCTGTTTAAAAATGATGAAGAGATTTTCATTGCCACCTTTTCTTGTTGCTCATCACCAGCGCCACCGACAACACCACTAACACCCACCAATTCTTCTTGCTCGGGTGGCCTTAACTCCTTGGCAATTTTGTAATTTTCATACATATCTTCGGTTACATTTTGAAATTCCGAACGTTTATCACACAGGGCTTTGGAGAAAAATTCAGCAAATAAACGACTCATAAATTGTTCTTTGACCGATGGCCACCAGCCTTCTAGGAAACCAATATGACCACCTCGGGCCGTGACAACAATGGCCACGTGCGAGCATTCTTCAGCCGCCTTAATGGGTATGGCGTCCAGTGGCTGGAAGGGATCATCGGCTGCACTCAGGCACAGTGTAGGCACCGTAATTCTGTGTAGTTTATCATGTAACGTGGCATCAGTATAATAATCATCGACATGGGCATAACCAAATTGTTTGGATGTAAATAAGGCATCGAATTCTTTGATGGTTTTACACTGGAAAACAAAAGAAAAAATATTTAAAAAAAATACTAAACCAATTTTCAGCATGCAAGATTGAATTGTGAAACTCAGGTGTCCTCAGGAAGTCATACAGGTTTAAGTTTTTTTCTTAAGACTCAGGTCTTAGGTCGGTCCTTTGGAGACAAGTAAATTACCCTAAAATCATTGGTTTTTATACGCTCCACAATTCTATTGTCATTCCGTTTGTAACTGCTCGAGATATTTTTGATAAATCCTACAAGTATACAGGGTGAGATGAAAAAACTGCAACCAACTTCAATTATTCCAGTGATAGCTCATTATATTGTTTACAAGCGTACAAAAGCATTTTTGTGAGAATTTTCCAGAAAAAATAACTATTCGTGATGGAATTCAAGCGTGATATTCTGATTTATTTATATTTGGCCGGAAACCCGCAAGTGGCTATCGTTAGAGCACTCCAGCATTTAAATGTGAATAAATCTTTTGTGTCCCGTACCATTGCTCGTTATGGTTACAAAATGAGGTTCCTCCGGATACCAATCCGTTGGACTATTGTGTCTGGAGTATGTTGGAAAGCAAGGTTGGTAGTAAAAAATACCAAAGTGTCGATCACCTCAAGCAAGTGCCTCACCTCCCCATATTCGGTATATGCAAGATTTACGGGAATTATTTCAAAATTCGTATTTGAAGATTGACAAAAAAGTTTGTATGCAGGTCCACCCCTTCGTATTGCCCCCATACAACGGTACCTCCCGATATTCGATATTTTCATGATTTTAGCGACATTATTCACTGGAACTGTTTAAAATTTCGTATTTGAAGTTCGTAATGGGTACTACAGCCTATGACGAAAAATTTCGTATATTTTTTTCTACAAAAAAGTATTTATAAAATAAAATATATTATACACACCATTAAAATTTTATCCATATCTATGTCATCGCACATTTTGAAAATTTCACAGCTTTTCAGAGTATTACAGAGGCTATTTGTTAAATGTCTGCCAAGTAGATTATTCAATATGGGCTTCTCTATGCTCTTCGTTCCTGCAAAAACAAATCCCTAGTCAGTACAAGGGAAAATAAATAAATGCACTAGTGTTACATACCCTTGTGAACATCCCAAGGCACTGATATAATGTTTGCGGCACCCAAATATGTGCGGGCCTCTTCACTTTTACGCACCAGATAATTTCCTGTGCAATAAAAAAATTCAATAATTTTTATTTTTTCAAAAAAAAAAAAGCAAAAATATTTTGAACTCACCCAAAATCAAGCCACCCATTGATATCCCGGTAGCACCCAGCTTATCTTTGGGCACACTTTTGCCCACATGCCTTACCACCTCGGAGAGGTCCTCGCAGTTTGAGGCACAATATAGACGTGGCGTTTTCAATTCAATGCCACCCAAACCGCGATTATTGAAAACAACAACACGCAAACTAACTTGACTAGCGGCTAAAACTAAACACTTAATATATTCGGCCTGAGATTCACCTGTTAAACCAGGTAATATAATGACACATGGACTATCGTCGGCGCAGCCATCCTCCATCCAATCTAATGCTACTTCGCCGCCATCGGTCAGCCTTAAGATTTCTCTGTAAAGAAATTTATATTTAATTTATCTCTAATAATGAAATGTTCAACAACCCCACCTTCGATAGTTAATATTTGGTAATGTTTGAGATCTAATAATACTGGCAAATACCGTTTGGGCCCGACTTTCGAAACACCAAAATGTCGGCCAATATTTGACATCCAATGTTGGTATATAACGATATAAAAATGTTTTAAAAGGTCCATCGGAACAGGCTAAAATTGGACGCTGTAAATAATGAGGGATGTTAAATAATTTTTTTTGCTATTGTTTTTATTAAAATTTGATACTTTAAGAAAACACAATTGATAATGACCGCTTTTAATTAAAGAAAAACACTTTATTATCTTTATTACTTATTGTCAAGTGAGTTGCCTTTCAAAGCAAAAGTCAAAAAATATATACTCTCTTGCCATCAAATTTTAAAGAGAGAGAATGAAAACAAATCAAGTTAACGGTAGCAAAGAGAATGTGTCTGACCAAAAGAGAACGTGAAACATCAAATATCGATAATTTCCACAATCGATATCTTCCCGTTTATTACTTTCAGAGTATAAATTTATTAATTTATTAAAAAAGTACTAAGATTTTACTTACCTTAACTACTTGTATTAAATAATAAACTACATATCCTAATATTGCAAATGCCCATAAATGTAGACGTGGTATGTTTGTCAAATATACAACTACAGAGTATAACATTTTTGTTTTGTAATTCGTTTATAGGTTTTTCTTTTTGATATATGTGAATAGCAAAATTTCCACCTCTCAAAGTTTTGAACTTTATCTAATACTGTTGCATAGAAACGTTGATTATCTGAAATGAAAAGAAAACAATATAAATTAGTTATCAATCGTGAAATGGAAATTGTTATAAATAAAATATATATTTATTATCAAAAAAAAAAAATGTCGGGACCTTTGTCATATCTAAGTCATACGAAGGTCAGCATAAAACTCTTAATATCTATGCGCGATAAAAGTAATTAATCAAATAGGTATAACGAATTTCTTTCATGACTACGAATTCGATAAAAAAAAACTATTGTTTTCAACTTGGATGTAGAATTTATTTTCGAAAATGTATTTTTTCAAGAATATTTTTTCTATCAAAAAAAAAAAAAAAAAAATGCCTGATATAATCGGAAATATATTTAAAAAATAAATAACAAATTAAAAATTGTTATTATTATGTAAACATCTTTGGAGCGGCCCCGAAATGGCTGTTTTCTCTTACTGAGTAAATTTTCCAGTAAGATTTTTAAAACTCTCAATAACTTAACTGTCAAAATTGCTCTCTTTACTTTACTGGACATTTATTTGTAAAAAACATTGCGTTTTTCGCCGAAAATTATTAAATTATAAACTGACAACCAAAAATGTCAAATTACAGCTGTTAATGACATCAAAAAAGTAAAAAAGAGAGAAATTCCTCACGGAATTGGTATTCGTGATTCGACTATTACCGAAAATATATTACCCCATGTAAAGTAGTGTAGGGTATAAAAATTGGCGCCCAATGCATGATTTTTACTCCCGTACAAATCTGTGATGTCAACTTTTTTTCGACTCACCTCGATAAGACGCACCTAATACAGAATGAGTATTCGCAAGAATGCTTTTGATGAGACATTTAGATGAGATAATTTCTTGACATTTATTCGTTTGTAATAAATGTATGTGTGTGTGCGAGTAATTATACAGTTCAAGTGTTTTGTCTAGAATCAAGTTTTCATTGAAATAGACTTTAACCTTTTTTTTCATTTATATAATTATATGCGAATATACATTACATACACCAAGTATTTACGCGCGAGTTAAATTGTAGAACAGCCAGTTAGATAACCGAACAGATAAATTATCTGTCATATATTTGAACTGAGCACCACTCGACTTCAAAGCTAATGTTTCCCCCTTTGGACTATTCCAGTGTTGATGAGCACAAAACATATTATTATTTTATGACTAATATTTTGAAATTATGACCCAACCGCCACTGCCGTCCATTTCGATGGAAATGGACTTTCGACTCAAGAGAAGCAAAAAGCAATGAAAGCAGTTATAAATTTAAAACAAAAAAAATCAGATTTACGTTAGTTGCAAAGTAATTTATAAAATATACAATTTAATTAATTTTATTGGCATAAAATAAACAAATGATTTTTATTAAAAGTAAATAAAGAAATTGTTAATTAGATTGTGAATTAATACTTTTACATGGAGTAAGTGCATTGGCCGAATTCTCGGCTTGATCCGGCACTTATGATTTATAACTTTGCTTTGGGGTTACATTTCCAGTTAGTTATCTCCTTCCTTTCACTCTAACGAAAATATGCAAATTTGTCAATAAGTCAGTGTTTTCCAAACAGATTTTGCAGCGATTGAGTTGATCTTGTAAAAACATTTTTATTTGATTTTGTATCGGGGCCGACTATATGATACCCTAAACCACTATGCACATTTAAAAGAGTTCCCGTAACAAAAGAATTTATTTAAAGTAGATCATACCACCTATCAACATTTGGTTTTAGAGCAGCTATAGTTTAGTTTCAGAGGAACTAATATATGGAAGGCATATCCAATCCTTAATCGATTTTCACTAAATTTAATTGTGACATTTTAATCTTTTGTACCAAATAACATTGCTATAGAGAATCGAGAAGTATTATTTTCAAAAAATATATATCAGAGACGAATTCCACCAAATGGAAACGCACGTCCCGAAATTCACTCCATTTGGGCTGATATTAGCCATTATTTGCTCAATAAACCTGAAATCGGATTAAGGATATATATGGGAGCTATATTCAAATCTGAAGCGATCTTAATCAAATTTAGCAGAGGTATTTCCGAGCTCTATAAGATATCTTATACCAAATATGATTGTTGTCGAATGCAGATTAAGAATGTGAGGGACTTAAACACCAAATCGGACGAAAATACGTTTCATATGAAAGCTATAGCTATATCTGAACCGATTTTCACCAAATTTGATGTACTTGCTTCTATGCTGAATTCCATCGGAAGTGCCAAATTTCAGGTTATTTGGACCGATATTGGCCATTTGGTGCACAATTAACTCGGCATCGTTTGAAGATATATATGGAAGCTATATCCAAATCTGAAGCGATCTTGATCAAATTTGGCAGAGGTATTTCCGAGCTCTATAAGATATCTTATACCAAATATGATCGTTGTCGAATGCATATTACTAATGTGAGGAGCTTAAACACCAAATCGCATGAAACATATATATGGGAGCTATAGATATATCAGACACGATTTTCACCAAATTTGATGTACTTGCTTCTATGCTGAATTCCATCGGAAGTGTGAAATTTCAGGTTATTTGGACTGATATTGGCCATTTGGTGTACAATTAACCTGAAATCGGTTGGAGATATACGGAAGCTGGATATCCTTATTTGAAATGAACCAACCTCGAAATAATTGTACAATTTGTTACATTTATTTTTGCATTTTATAGCATACTTCTAGGCGCTCTCATAGTATTAAAATGGTATAACATGTGAAAACTTGACTCGATATTAGCGACATTATTCACCAGAGTTGTTTCAAATTTCTTATTTAGAGTTCGTAACGGGAACTACAGAAAATTGTCTATTAGGGCTAGGTCTTCGTGTAGGCCCCATATATCAGTACCTTCCTACATTCGCTATTTTGACGGTTTTAGTTACAATATTTACCGAAATTGTTTGAAATTTCGTATTTGAAGTTCGTAATAGGTACTACAGCCTGTGACAGAAAATTGTGTAAAGAGTCCAATATAACGGCTATATTCGGTATTTTTAAGATTTTAACAGATATTTTAACGGAAACGGAACTTACTGCTTTTTTACTCATATTTAATTATTTTAGCATTTTAATTCAATAATTTATTTAAAAAACAAGTAAGCAAAGGCTACAGTCGAGCGGGGCCGACCGTTGAATACCCTACAACACTACAATAAACGATACAGTTTATATAGGCGAATTACAAATAATAAAAGAAAACCACCAGGTTTCGTTCTCTAATTTTCGAATAATAGCAACTTAAACTAATTTGCTCATTTCCAATATATTGGTAGATGTTGCACGTAAATGGTCTTCCTAGATCTGGAACCAATATTTCCCAAAGACCTTTAATCTCTCAGAAGTGGCAAAAGATTAACATTTATTATTGTTTTTTGACTGAAACGCATCTATATGAGATACAGCCATTTGACTATATTCTTTAACGAAATCAGCGTTAACGAAATAGTCAGAAGTGCGTCTTTGCTGTATTTGTGAATTCTCCAAAAATTCACTGGAATGGACATTTTCGTATTTTGTCTATAAAAGTTGGCAAACTATTTCACACATTGAATATTTTTGGATGGCCATCCAAAACTGCTTGGCTTTTGCAATGCCCGTGAAGATCGGGCAATAATTACGACCTGCTAACAATTTTGCAGTTTTTTTTGGTCCATTTCAACCCCTAAATATATGGCGATCATCTCCAAAAAGAGTAGGCTTCTATTCTGACCCTCATCTGATCCCCATACAAAATTTCGTTAGGATCGGGCCATAAATGCGATCTGTATATGATATCCTCATATCCTAACTACTTAGTTTTGTTAGCTGTAGAAATATTACCAAATGTTTAATTCAAAATGAAAATATGCCAAAAATATGACAAAATTGAAAAAATATGAGAAAATTTTAAAAAATCAATATTTTCATCTTTAGAGAGATGTTTTTTATGCGATTTTTTAGACGTTTTTTCTTTCCTGCCAAGAGGCCATTCTGAATTAATGAGAACTGTCGAAATCCGTTCAGCCGTTCTCGACATATAAGACATCTTTCAAGCATATCTTCTTTGGAAGACATATATATCGCACATATTTTGCTATATATCCGTTTTGTTGGATGTTAACATCAATGTAAAGATCAGGAGTAACCTTGTCATGGCTTTGTGATTTCGCCGGGATTTAAAATATTCGCGGTTTAATGAAAAATTTTGAATTTTCCAACAGAAAAGATATGGTATATTTAACCCGCTAAATATTATCCGATGACCACCCAAATTGGTAGGCTTCTTCCCCGCCCTAAACTCTAGCTACTTCCGAAATTCCGCGTCGATTGGTCTATAATTGCGACCTGTATGGCTACTGCAAAATCCGACATTTTTTCAGTATTTGGTCCATTTCAACCCCTAAACATTTGGCGATCATCTCCAAAAGAAATAGGGTTCTATTCTGACCCTAACCGCACCTTCGTGCAAAATTTCGTAAGGATCGGGCCATAATTGCGACCTGTAGAGTGATTACAAATTAACATGGACAGACGGACAGACGGACAGACGGACGGACGGACATACATAGCTAGATCGACTCAGCTCGGCGAGCTAGGAAGATCCATATATACTTTCCTATGTGGGAAACCAATATTTCGAGGTGTTACATAAATTCTGGCCCAATCAAACTTATAATACCCCCAACACATAGTGTTGTAGGGTATAAAAAAACACCAAGTAACATTGGTGAACGTGGCCTTTCAGGGTCATATTTTTAAAATTCTATGCTTCTTCTCAGGCTTATCAACCGGACCCGGGATCCTAGATTTTTTAACCGAAAATCCGGATTTAAGACCCGCGCCAGACCCGAATCCACTTACCCGATATAGATAGGAATCGTTTGAAAGCCTATGAAAATACCTATACAATCAGTGGTCACATGATGGGGTTATTTATAAGCAGTCCGGAAGTTATAGTAAAATTATCGATATTTTGGACCCGAATTTTTTTAAAAAATACCCAAAAAGTGGAAAAAGGGCCCATTATGAGGTTCAACAAAATTTATGCTAAATTATAGCTGATACTCTTACAGTTTCAAAATACAGCAATTTGTGCTAATACCTTTTTAGGTTTCAGAGATATGGGTCTTTACAGCTTTCAAACAATATCCATATTGTCTATATCGGGTAAGTGGATCCGGTTCTAGCCCGGACTTTCAGGTCAAAAATCTGGGGTACCTGGTCCGTCCCCAAGAAAAAGTAGTTTCCCGAAATCAGGGTACCTCTGGAAAAAAATTACTAAAAGAGAGTTAAGTCATTATTTCTCCTCAATTATTCATGGTTGAAGGAATTGTTTCTCAAAGAAAATGCTTTTCATGGGAGTATATACATAATTCCATCTGGATATTTTCGGGCTGAATGTCGGAAAAGTCGGACCTTAACTATTTTGAAATTTTGTTTTTATTTAATTTTTAAAAACTTATTTGGAATAGTATTTTCCATTCGCATTAAAAAAAAAATTAAAGATAATTTTCATAGAACAAGAATCGACCCAGAAACCATTTAAAATCATTTTTCCACCATTAAGTTACAAACGTGCTTACAAACTTCATAATTCTTCAACGAGAGACAAAAAAGAAACATACAAATTAACAGACCATTTGGCAGGCATTAGTGTTGTGGTTTCCTACAAAATTGGCATTACAAACATAACACTCAATGTCACATAAACACATACAGACACACACACACACAGACAAACAATAAGGTTTAAATCACATTTTCCCAAAAAGAGGGTTAAATTCATGTTCACGTGGAAACGTTCAATGCTATATAATCTAATTTGGAAAATGTAAACAAGCAGAGAAGTACACATGATATTTGACAAAGGAATAAACATAGACACATATACATATATACAAACATATGTAAAATCTAGTAATGCGTATTTATTCCTATGAATTGTAATTAACATTTGTTTTATGTAAATATTACTAAAGTTTTATTTCCATGCAACTTCAATTTGATTTTCCTTCATTGACACACACACACACTCACACACAGAAGAAAATAAAAGTTTTGACCCACTCCGTAATTTTATGTTTGCCATTGCATACTTTTGGGGAGCTATACTATACACCAATGACAAAAGCAGTAACTTGTGTATTGTATGTACGAAAGAAAGTGGTTCCTTTTTTTGGGGTCATAACAAGCAATTAAGTTACACACTATATAGGTAGCCATATATACTATATGTTGACACTTGAATATATCACATATAGTATGTCGATATGTACATATATATGTGTAACCCTTATCTCCATTGGTTTTATCTAAAATCACAATTAGGTTTTTGTAAAATAATGTCCACTGCATTGGGTTGTTGTTTTTCTTTTTGTTTTCTATTGTTTCTTTTTTTTTTTTGTCATACCCGAAATTGCGTGACACCAACTGAAGTTCCTTTTACGAAGAAGAAAATCTGCTACTCAGAGTCAAGTCATTTGATTAATGCCTTATTGACAGTGGAAAATACGTAGGTATTTATTTTCGTGGTGTTGTTTTTTCTTTTCGTCGTCTTCAATTACACAATTTTTATTATTACATAATTTTTGTTAAACACTTTGGACGCTTTTTAACGAAATTTCCAAAAGAAACATTTAACTGCCTGCAATTATTGTTACACTTGCAAATAATAATCAGTGTCGGAGGAAGAAGAAGAACGAACGAACGAACAACTTGTGATAATGAGATGAATATTCTTCTTTAAATTTTTTGTTTTGTTTTGTTTAAATCCAATTGACAAGGTTTTTAGAGAATGTGGCTTCCTTCGTTTCGTTTCTGCGAGGGCAAGTGGCGTTCAGTTCCACTGCACTTTTATAACTGAATAAAAATGTTACCTTTATTTTATTGGCTTGATTGGAGGCAAGTTCTTTAACACACAGACGCACACACAGCAATTTAAAGAGCATACATTTGGCAGGTGTATGTTTTTTTCGCTCTTTCATTTTTCAAACGCAAACCAAGCACACACGCACAGCAATTGCCATTCCTCTTACAACCGGCACTTTTATTGTGCTCTCATTTTGCACTCAAAATTTCAAACATAAATATTCCCTCTGTGCTATATTCATTGTACGACATTCACCCATCGAGCTCTCTTTTCTTCTCTGACACGATGTTCACGTGCTTGTTTTTGGCACGTTTCCGACATTTTTCAATGCCATAAACAAGAATAAATTGCATACTTTTTTGCTTTTCACGAAAGAGAAAGAGAGAGGACAAGATCCTCTCTTTTTCTTTAAAAAATATCTCTTACTGCAAGGGAATATTAGAAGAGTATACCATCTACACTTGCTTACATAATCGTTTTTTTTTGGGAAATTTTAAAAGAAAATGTGAAAACAAAATTTTCAACAATTTTTTTAGATCAAAAAAATGTTTTCAATATTTTTTTTATGATGTTTATTAAATAATTATAGTAAAAATAAATTCAATGTAAATATTATGTCAAAAAATATTTCAGTCAAATAAATTAATTTTTCGAATGTTGAAAATGTGGCTTAAATCCTAAATATACTACACATAGGGAAGCTTTATGAAAACATTGGCCTATACAGGGTGAGATAAAAAAAACTGCAACCAACTTCAGACTGCTATCATTGCTGAGTCACGCGTCCGACAGCTATTAATATTATTCCAGTAACAGATCATTATATAAGCGGGATAGTGTGATTTCTTTATATTTGGCTGGAAAACCACAAGCAGCTATAGTTAGAGCACTCCAGCATTCAAATGTTAATAAATCTTTTGTGTCTCGTACCATCGGTCGTTATCGTGATACTGATAGCGTAGCCCGACGCCAAAGAAGTGGGCGAAAGACGGAAGAAAACAGCAACATCAGCAGAAATGTTTCGAAAAGTAAAGAAGCGACTTGATGGAAACCCGCGTCGCAGTGGCCGAAAAATGGGTTGTGAGCTAAACATATCGCAATATTCCATTCTGTAAATATTGAAAAATGAGCTCGGGGTAAAACCACTGAAATTCCAAAAAGTGCAAGAACCTACACCGCAACAGAAAGGAAATAGACTCAAAAGAGCGAAAGAGTTGCTTCGTTTGGCCGAACGAAAGTGGTGAACCGCCGAACTGGTTTTCTCCGATGAGAAAACATTCGCTGTCCAACAGTTTGCAAACAAACAAAATAATCGTGGTTACTTGCCAAAGAGGTTAGCTGAAAATGTGCACCTTCGGTTGGCCACCAGAACTCAAGCGCCAGCCATAGTGGTGGTGTGGGCCGTCATAATAGCCGATGGTTGCTCTCCGTCCGTTGCATCAGAATAAATGCCGAATATTATCGCGAAAATATTCTGGAGGGTGTGTTAAATCCTTGGACACGCAAGCATTTTGGTCACAAACCTTGGACATTCCAACAGGCCTAAAATCTAAACTTTTAAAATTTGATGCTATTTCCAACATTTTTTGCTTTCATTCAATAAAATTTAAAAAAATTTAAAAATTATGGCGTTTGACTTTATTGAAGTTTTTATCTCACCCTGTAGTTCTTCTTCGAGTATGACCTGCCTGAAAACGAAAGACATCTCTAAAGTGCCCGCACATTGTCAAAATGCATGACATCAAAATCGTGTACATGCGCATGAAGCTTTCAGCACACATCGTTCATGCATTCATTTTCCTTTTGATTTCGTGCTGTACAGACAATGTCGATAACAGACGATACACTTTTGGTAATTGATTATATTCTTAACATTCAACATTCCAAAGTGCTGGCAACGACCGGTAAACTCCAAACAACTCAATAACATTTTTTTCTCAGTATCCCAATATCTCTATACATCCATTCGCTTTAAAAAAAAAAAAACATTACAAATTAGAATATGTATGATCCTTAAACCACGTCAAACGTTAAAATCGAACTTCATGCACGAGAAAACTCAAAAAATCGGATTTTGCTTCATGCATCGTAGGTGTGACAATTTTTCACTAACACCACAAAATGCATGACACGCTTTGTGATGGGGCACTTGAGCAATATCTTAGCTTTCTATGCTGATCAAGGATATACCCTTTGTTGGGACTAAAATGACTATTTCGAACCGAAAAAACTGTGTTTTTATACCCTACAACACTATGTATTGGGGGTATTATAAGTATGATTGGGCCAAAAATTATGTAACACCTCGAAATATTGGTTTCCCACATATGAAAGTATATATGGATCTTCCAATCACTCCGAGCTGAGTCGATCTAGCTATGTATGCCTTCATCCCGTCTGTCCATGTTAATTTGTAATCACTCTACAGGTCGCAATTATGGCCCGATTGAAAACGGAGGTGGGGTTAGGGTCAGAATAGAACCCTATTGTTTTTGGAGATGATCGCATAATATTTAGGGTTTGAAATGGACCAAAAATAGAAAATTTTCCTAATTTGAATGTGGCTCTATGGCCTCAATTATGAAACAATCGACGCGAAAATTTACATGGAGTAAAAAAATTGATCTTATTTATTCTGCTTACAAAGAGCGGCTGGACCGATTTTCACAATTCCCATCAATTCGGAATGGTCTCTTGCCAGAAAAGGATAAAATCTAAGAAAATCGCGGGATAATATACCAATAGAAAAGTTATATCTTTTGTTTAATTTTTTTCAATTGTTGTCATATTTTTTATCGCATGCGGTTTTTTCAATTTGACTTACAATTTTGAATTGTAAATTTTCTAAATTTTTACACCCCAACACTACGTTTTGAGGGTTAAAAAGGGTGAGGGTTAAATGGTTAAAAAAATTAATTTTTCTAATTTTGTGGTCGTATAGGCCACAATTGAAAACTAATCGACACGGAATTTCGCATCGGAAGAGAGTTGGGGACAGGGAAGAAGTCTAGCATTTTGGATGACCATTGGATTATATTTAGCTGTAAAATGGACCACAATTTTCGTGTGCAATTGTTTTGAATATTGGTCAAATTATCCGTGTCAAAAACCTAAGGGTAACCTCTGGGCAGTCTGTTTGACTTTATTTCAAAAACGAAATCTTCCAATAAGGGGACTTCGAAAATATTGTAGTGTTGTAGGGTATCACATGGTCGACCCCGCACGACTGTAGCCTTTACTTACTAGTTTCACATATTTTTTCTAGTATTCCAAGACAAGAAATATTTCCAATGATATGTAAAACATAAAGGCTGTTGATTACTTTCTTGAGCAACTGTATTCATTAGTCTTGTGTGGCAACGATTGTTTGTCTCGACCTAACAAGATATATTTCCTATGAAATTTAATACCCCTCAAACACACACTCAATTTCAAATATCCCCTCATCTTATCCAACTTTAATGGCTGTTGATAACTTTGTTGGCCAAGTGTATTCATTAGTCATGTGCAGCAGCGATAATTTGACTCGTCGACCAAACCTCTCCAGTGCAAGTAGGTAATTTCCCTAATTTTTGTTTATTGAGAGATAAGCAGGGCACACACACACAGACGAGAATGTTCTCGAACTGTTTCATGCAAACAATTCCATGGGCAAATGACGGGAACGCACATTGCATCAAACTGCAACGGCTGAAAAAAGACAACGTCATATATTCTTAATATAAGAAAGAAAGAAAGAAAAGTAGTTAGTCTTAGTTAATTTATATATTAATATTTAGGTACTTTTTTCGGTATATCGTAAAAATTTTTTGATAAAATCTTGTTTAAGTATATTAGTATGTATAATTCGTTTAAAAATATATATATGTACAAGTTGCAATGTTTCCAATATATACTGTTTTTTTTCTTTTTTTTGTGAAAATGTGTATGAAATCTGTTTACGGGTTTGCCTTTAGTCAAGTGTTCTTCTTCAACAAAATATACAGATACATTTAAATGGAAATAGTTTTGTTTAGCCAAGTTTGCTTTTTTTCTAAAGTATCGATATGTTGAAGTTTCTTTGAAAAAAAATTAAGATTATTAATAATAAAATGAGCGAAAGAAAAGTAAACACCACACAAACGATTGCTTTTGCATGGGCCACATAAAATGATGAAATATGAATGATTCCTTATTACAACTAAAATAGACAAAATACGTTTAAAATAAGTATATATAGATGTGACAATAAAATAAAGCTTAATACGCTACTACAAAATAGGAGACGTGAGATTGGGGCATGGTGTCAAATAAACATCTGCTTAAAAGTCGGCATCCAGTGTAAAAACATTGTCCAAACGATTGGCTGTCACGCCCCATTTTTGGTATTCACCCACTTTGCGTTCAAAGAAATTTGTTTTACCATCCAATGAAATCATTTCCATGAAGGGGAAAGGATTTTTGGTATTGTAGATTTTGCCAACATCCAATTCAACCAGCAGACGATCGGCAACAAATTCAATATATTCCGACATTAATTCACAATTCATTCCAATTAAATTACATGGCAGAGCTTCAGTTAGGAATTCCTGTTCAATTTTTACAGCATCTCGGATGATTTCAATAATACGTTCTTTGCTGGGTTTCTGCACCAGATATTTGAACATCAGTACGGCAAAATCACAATGCAAGCCTTCGTCACGCGAGATCAATTCATTGGAGAATGTCAAGCCAGGCATTAGACCACGTTTCTTAAGCCAAAAGATGGAGGCAAAACTACCGCTGAAAAATATACCCTCAACGGCAGCAAACGCAATAACACGTTCTCCAAAATTAGCCGATTCTGATGAAATCCATGACAAGGCCCAATCGGCCTTCTTCTTAACGGCTGGCATTGTTTCAATGGCATTGAAAAGATATTCACGTTGATCGCGGTCCTTAATGTATGTATCGATCAGAATACTATACATTTCGGAGTGAACATTTTCCATGGCAATTTGGAAGCCATAGAAGCAACGGGCTTCTGTCACTTGCACCTCTTGCGAGAAACGTTCAACTAAATTTTCATTGACAATACCATCAGAGGCGGCGAAAAAGGCCAGAACATGAGATATGAAATAGCGTTCATTGTCTGTTAATCTATCCCAATCAGTTAAGTCTTTGGAGAGATCAACTTCTTCCACTGTCCAAAATGAAGCCTCTGCCTAATAATTAAAAAAAAAGAAAAGAAATAAATTTAGTGGTTATTTATCTCTTTGAATTTTCCAAACAACAGATTAATTATAATCAAAACAAGAAAAATTCTATTTAGTCATGAACAAACAAATGTTAATCATCTCAAAAACTTGTCGGGTTGGTAGAAAAAAAGGCGCCAACTCTAATAATGGAGGGAAAAGTTGAGTAATGAATGCAAGTGTTTGTGTATCTACCCTCTCATATTTACACTATTAGTATTCCCGCGCTTTTCTATATTGCCTATATTGCTAACTGCGTCACACAATAATCAAATGGAAAGTTACATGTATTTGGGTCGATCATGTCATTTTCAGCTGAAAAGAAAAATTATGTATTACCTTTTTGTACATCTGCCATATATCCAAGTATTGAATGGGGAATATAACAAAACGCTTGGGATTTTCCTTCAATAGCGGCTCAATGGATGGGTCAAAGGGAACCGCCGTTTTGTTGGCCAAAGAAGTACCCGCATTGCTTGTGGTACCAGCACTGTTTGAAGTTGCTTCCTTGGCTACGGGTTCATCAGTACCGATGGACATTTTACGTACATTATTCACGTTCTCGGCAAGAATTTTACGAGGGCTCTACAATGAAAACAAAAAACATTAGTTTCAATTGTCTTTCAAACAACAGCACTGAACAACATACCTTCAAACCAAACTTGTCCATGTTTTCAATATTTTCTTTACCAGCTACAAACGACATGTTAAATAGTCCAAATTTTTTAATTGTTTTAATTTACAAAATGCTTACAGCTCAAGCTACAAAGTCAGAATGATCGCAGACGCCTGGTCAGCACCATAAAGTGGCGGAAAAGTGAATGCACTACCACCACCTTCCACGTTGTTTTGGCGGGGACCAATATCGATTTTTTCATTTATCGATGTGTGTTAGATCTAAAACAGAGTATACACTCTCAATCGAGATGGTCATTCAACTTGTTATCATTCATTGATAAGAGAAATATGAGAGATTAACATATTTTGCAATTGAACATTACTTAAATTTTTTTTAAACAAATTTTGGTTATTTTCTCTCAAAATTTCATTTACCTTGACACACTAAAAAGACAATGACAATAATGATTATATTTTCGTTAATTTACGAAATTTGTCGGAGAGTCAGCGATGAAAATAAAGTAGTTACTGAGCCTTACCGATGAACCTTTTGGTCTGATTCAGATATGCAAGAAAGAACAATTATTTTCCACGATAACTGATAACCGCCTACCAGTATCATTTCATCATGATAAATATGATCTTTGTTGAACTTTAAAACCCTGTTAAGATTCTTTTTTGATCGGCTGAACCCTGCCTTGGCTCTCGTCTCAAACTACTGAACCCTGAAGACGTACAGTGTATGATCTGTTGATCCCTTGAAAATTTCAAATTGGCGCAATCAACGGTCGGTGGGAGCTTTTTTTGGTGGTAAACGGATTACACGACTTTTCTTATTGATTATCTTGGAGTGAACATAGATAAATAGAAGTGAGCCTGCATGGACCTGGATTGCACGTAAATTCCTCTCGGATCAAAGACACAAGCGGTGAGTGGTTATCTATGGGAAGCATGGAATAGAGACCAAGAAGAGCTCCACTATATGCAGCCGACATTTCGAACCAGATATGTTTACTATTAAATCGGGACCTCGGCAACTGGCGTGGAATGCAAAGACGTGTCTATTCCTTATTCCTTCTGTTAATATGAACTCTGATAATGTGGATAATGGGAGTAAACTTGTATTTGTTATAAATTGGGTATAAACATGTATAACTCTGGGATATATCGTCCAATGATATGCTCCATACTTTATACCTATACTCCAAACCTTCCTATCCTTCATCCTGGTTTTGTGGATAATGGGAGTAAATTCGCATTTGTTATAAATTTTAATACACCGCGATATATCGGGGACCATCGGTCAGTTGTAGCACAGGGATTAATTTAATTATAAAACGTGAAAAAATCAATTTACATATGACTCTAGCACCATGTGAAAACGGGTGGGACTACTTCACTCAATTTTTTGAATTCTGTCACTGCTAATCACGATGAAATGATATTTGTTTCTTTACTAATCACTATGAAATGATAACGTTCTCTTTAAAGATAACATTTCTTTACTTTCCCAAAATTTCTCCAATTGCAAGCTATCATATTAATAATCTGTAACTACGTTATTTTTTTTACAAATACCTTAAAACCGGGTATAGAAGACAAGGACAAAACAATGAGAAGGTGTTGTATATGCCTAAAGAGATATGTTTCCGGCAGCGGATCATTTTTCGAGGTGCCCAAAGATGAAGGCAGGCGTAGGCAATGGATGAAAATTTGCAGAAGGAAACTTGCTAAACACGATGTACTGTGTGCAGATCATTTTTTGGAAAAGGAAATTGTTAAGGCCGGCAAAAGATGCATGTTGCTGCCCTGTGCTGTGCCGTATTTGCCTCAAAATCTCAACACTGGATCCGAAGACTTTTCACTGGACATGGAGTATGTTGTTTCATGATGCATGATTCTGAGTGCGATTAGAAGAAAATTTAATGAAGTTTTGTTTTATTTTTAGTCATGACAATACTCCTTTGCGATATATGCCAACTAAAAGGCACCCGGGCCCTTTGGATGAACCATATTTTGAAAGTGGAAATCGTGGACATAAACGCATACATATGAGTAGCCAAAGTGATCCTTTTGGTGCTCCCGTAAATATGGGCACTCAAACGGAGTAAGTAGTGAAGTGATGTTAACGCCAATTGCATGGTAACATATTCGTTGAAAGCTCCGTCGTTTTCGAAGGTTCATTTTCAGCAATGTGTGATGAGCAAAGAAGGACTATAAAAAGATTGGAAAATGAATTAAGAGATATGAGAGTAAAGATGCATGGATTAAATTTGGCTGTTGAGAATATGAGGAAAATATTTACCGAAGGCCAGGTGCGCAAAATGATGGGTGGCCATAACGTCAACTGGCAATGGGGTGACATTGCAAGTGCTTTAGTTTTACATCAGAAGGGTCCCAAGACCTATAAACATTTATACAATATGGGATTTCCACTGCCCTCAGTTTCATCGCTTCAACGATGGTGTTCTACCTATGATGTCAACGAGGGTGTCTTAAAGACGGCAATTGAATTCCTAAAAAACAAACCTGAACTATCGGAAGAAGATAAAATATGCGTTTTAACCTTTGATGAACTGAAAGTAAGGGAACCAAATCAAGTCCCCAAAACAGCCCAGTTTGTAATGGCGCGAGGCTTGAGAAAATCATGGAAACAGGTTGTGTTCTACAACTACGACAGTAAAATGAAGAAGAAATCCTTACACACAATAATTGGGGCTTTGAAAGAAACGGGATTCCCAGTAGTGGCCTTGGTGTGTAATATAAGCGAGGAAAACAAAAGTCTGTGGCAAGAACTAAATGTAACCATAGGTAAGTGAGGTAATTTCATTTTGTAAGATGGTTTAGCATTTTTTTTTTCATTGCGGATCAATTTTTTTTAGACAAACCTTGGTTCTCAAATCCTGCCAATCCCGAACAAAAAATCTTTGCATTTGCCAATCCCATGCATTTACTAAAATTGGTGCGCAATCAATTATTGGACACGGGTTTAGTTGTTAACAAAGAACATTTGAAACCCTGTACATTTGTTGAATTATTAAATTACCATAAAAGTGATACCAAGAGACCTGTGAAACTGAATCTAACCGATGAACATTTTTCTGAAAATGGTATGCATATAGAAATCAATGTTCATGGAATAATAAAGAAAATTATTTTTTTTTTAGCAAAAGAGGATATAAAACTAGTGACTGAATTTTTTTCAAAGACCACAACAAATGCCCTCAAACGCTGCCACACAATGAAAGTTAATATGTACAAACCACTGGAGACGGCCGAATTTTTATTGTTAATTAATTTTTGGTTTGATGTGATGAATTCATCTACCGATAATTTAAACCGGCCCGGAAAGGTAGGAAATTGTTTTCCTATTGTTTGATTATATTATCGTATTACTCATATCTGTAGGAGGCATACGGCAGTGTTTTCCCCAAACAAAAACAAATCCTGCAACGTGTTAGTAAACTAATGTCCCAACCCATGGTACCCCATGAAAAGGAGATGGCTCTTTTCCAAATGGGCATTCTAGTAACGAACAGTAGCCTGGAAATGCTTCATGAATATATAAAGGATCATTATATGCCTGTGATATTAACACGTCGTTTAAGCCATGACGTTTTAGAGGAATTGAAAGCTTCTCTATATTCCAATAATCTTTATCCGAATAGCAAAGAATTAAAGCAACGCTTAAGAAGATATATTTTGGGTAAGAACGCTTTCTCACAAGTGTCTTTTTATACCTTCCATTGGAGGGTGGAGGGTATTAAAAGTTCGGCCCGGCCGAACTTAATGTTGTTTTTGATTAAGATTGTTCCATTTGTACTTAAATTTGATTTTACTTAACAGCTCGTAATACTGACAGCATATTGGGATTTGGTGAGGTTACTAAAGTCGAGCCAAATGAAAATCCCACAGAAGAAACAAAGATTAAAAACGATGTTGATAATAATATAAAATCAATAACTAAAAAGGATGTCGATATGGAACAAAGCGACCAACAGAATGAGGAAATCGATATTAACGATTTAATAGACATGGATGTTGATGATGAGGGAATACTTTTTACTTTATGTAGGTCTTAAAATACTGCGATTAGTTTATTATGTAAGTAATGGTAACATTTTTTATTTCAGTAAATACATCACCTGAGATCCTACCAGAAAAGCCCAGCGATTCCAAAAGCCCAGCTATCAGCAATAATAAGGTCACCGTATCTAACACCACTTCAACAACACAGAAACCTGCTGGTGCACCGAAGGAAGTTACTAATGACATTATTATAGAACACTTATTTGACTTGAATACACATTTTACCACATCAATTTTGCAAGCGTCTACCACATCGCCCAATTTATTTCCAATTTAATGTGTCATTTTTATATTTTGGTTTTTATATAACTTTATTGTCTGAGTTGGTTTTTGTTTTGTTTCTTTTATTCATGTGATACTATACGAAAAAAATTAAATGATAAATCGTACGTTATTAAACATTATAATCTACCTTTTGGCCGCCACTTTGGGAATCAGATCTGCGATTTTAAATATATCGAGTCCTTAAGACTTTCGTTTAATTTTGTTGTACTTAAAGCCATATTCGTGAATTTTAAAGAATATGACCAAATCGTCGATTCTTGGGGACATTTTTAAAGGGGTCTCAGAAGCATCATCATTACTTTTGAATAGTGCTTTATTATGAATCTTTTTATTTTGGTATCTATTTTTATCACTAATTATTTTTTCATATATTACATATCAAAACAATTTTAAATATCCCTATAACTAATACTCAACATGTGATTTGTCGTCGTTATTATTTATTCAAATTTAGCAAACCATCAGCATATTGAAATTCAGGACTATTCTCGTATTCACACATATCCAAGGCAATGACACAGGATTCTTTGACGACACGTTTTTCATCTTCGGCATATCGACTGAGAATATCAATGCATTCCTCGGTGGCAATGGCACCCAATGCCTCGGCGCATTCATGGCGTACCATTTCGTTTTCCAAACGATCTTCTAGATTCTCCTTCAAGAAGGGTATGCTACATGGCTCCTGCAACTGGCCCAAAACAAATGCCACTTCATGGCGAAACAATGCCGACGAATCTTTCAATCCCTCGGTAATGGCCAGAACAGCTTCTTCTGTTCTCATATTTCGCAAACTAAACATGGCACGATAGCGATCGAACAACGTTTGTTTTGGATCCAAATAAATTGCTTTTAACTCATCAACACTTTTACTCTTGTCTGCCGGTGGCGAAGGGTCTACCGAGGCATAGGGATTGTTATCATCTACTTTCTGGCCACTTTGCAACCACTTGACACGATCCAAAGCAATGGAACAGGTCTCCGCCACTTCAACCACAGGATCATTTTTATATTTCTCCAAAACCGGTATAATTTCAGCATCGCCTATGGCACCCATTGCTTCGGCAGCTTCGTGTCGTACCATCGGCTCCTGGCTTGTGTCTTCCAAGACTTTGGTCAAAACGCCCAAAGCTTTGCTATCTTGCATCTGGCCCAAACAATAGGCCAACTCATGTTTCAACAGCGCTGAATCATCAGCAAATCCACGACTTATTTCTTCAATGGCCAATTCTCCGCCAAGGTTTTTCAGTGTAAACAGTGCCCGAAATCTTTCCTTGAGTGGTCGCTCCTTATTATTCAGCACGGATCCAATGTTTCGTATTTGTTCCTGGGTTACCATTTTGTACCGGGTTGGACGTAGACTTCTCTCTCAGATTCGACAATGAATGTTTACCAACACGTGAGCAGAACTCAAAGTTCTGCGCGCAATGAAGATGACGCCGTTGAAAAGTAATTTCGTGGCAACGAACATAATAAAATGGGATCTATAGGTGTATTATATGCTCTATCCGACCGATTGCTTTTGACATATGTAGTGTCCAATTTTCCATGTGTAGTAGGTATGCATATCATGTGATACATGACCGCTCTCAGTTTGAAAAAGCACGAGAAAATTAATAAAATCTGCAAAAATATACAATATAAAATTCGTAGTAAAAATACATTCATAAAATATAATAATTTGTTATAATATAAAATATATTAACAATCTAATTAAAGGAAATAAAAAAGCTTATCCAAGTGTTTGAGTGAGTGACAAAAGCGAAGAGCAAACTAGGTAGGCTTGTGCAACGAGTGGAAGATATTGGTAGGGTTTGTACCATGGCTCAGTAAGAAAGGTTATTCAACTTTAAATAAACTACAAAAATACAACTCTGTGCTGGAGTCTTATAGTGTCAAAAAGACTTTTAAATATATAAAAATTTGTTTATTTTTAATTTTTTTACCAAGAATCTTATGTTGGGAAAACCCGCGAAACAAGAATCTAAAATAGTAGGACAATACACTTTTACCAACAAACTGTACAATTTGTTACCCATTTAAATTTGCATTTATTTTGCAACCAAATTTGAAATATTTTCAAATTATTGTATTTTTTATTCAAAACAATACACATTCATACACAAAATGTGTAAATGTGCACCAAAAGAAAATATTGCATTTAGGGGGTAGCTTCTGTAATTATGCCATGGTTAATGTACGGAATTAATAAAAGGGGTAAGACGATTCATTATCTAAAAACGTTTATTTACTTATTTACATTTTTACTCTTATTTTTGTTTTCAAGTCGATTGGATTGTTTTTCTGTCGCACAGTTGGAAAATAGTGCATTAAATGTTAAATTACGTTGTTTTGAGTCACTCTGTAGTTTTGGGGAAAACCTGTGTTATCGATAGTTAGCTACGTTTGCTAGGGCATTTTCTTTTCCAAAGGATATGTAAAATGACAAAAATCCAGTACCTGGAACAGAGCAAATACGGTACTGATCAAGGTAGATCTAACAGGTAACCGCATCGGCGAATTGCTACAACAAAGCAACTTTTGTGGTCCCCTCAAATGTCAAAATTGGCATCTAAGGCGAAAAACATAGATTCGCCATGACATTTAAAGGTTGCGGCAAATTTGTTTCAACCAATCAGAAACGAGGTGTTTGTTTACATTTTATTTTGTGTGCCTCTCGTCGTAAACGAACGTCGCAATAAAAGTTTTTATTGTAAAACAAATAAGAGTAAAATAAGTATTAATTGTAGTATTGCGATATTTTTTAAAACAAGAAACTTATAATGACTATATTTTACTGGTTTAAACCGAAAGTTTTCCGGAACTGTAAATGGCAAGAGTCGAATTCTTGTACTACTTCCCGTGATGTGCTTTGGAAATCTTAGATGTTGAGGCTAACTTAATTCTTAAAGCTGCACTCCATTCTAACCTCCTTCCTTCATTTTCTTTTAATTTTTTTTTACTTGTTTCACTCTAAACTTGCTCTTAAATTATTTGAAATATTATAAAAAGGTACTTTTAGGGAAGACAACATAAACAAATTTGTTGTTGCATTCATTTAGGGCGAATTCTTCATTACAACAATTTGTTTTGACATTTAATGGTGCCGTCAGCTGGGCTGATGCGATTACCTAGTACATCTACCTTGGTACTGATCATGGCCCAATTATAAGGTCTTCCTTCGAGCGAATTAATCTAAAAACAGCTGTTATTTTACCAGATGAAATGTCAAAATTCATGCTTGAGGCGAAAATAAGAAGAACTTTGTGGCGAATATGTTTGTTGTCATATTTTATATGTATAACACATGGTACAAAAATACAGGTAGAGGCATCGACGCAACTGCTGGGACAATGAACCGTCAAACCGAATTTGAAATTAAAAATGTTAAACGAAAAATTGTTGATATTTGTAAAAATTGCATATCATAACAACCTCGTATTAGAAAACGTATAAAAATTTACTTATTTTTGACAAAACATTTTAACAATTTTGACATATTAATGTTCCCAAGCATTGCAATAATTTTTCATTTTAAATTTTTAACTTAAAAATTGGTTTGACAGTTCATTTCTTCTACCATCGTTTTGAAGTTTGTTTTTGTTGCAGCGAATTCAAATTTAATTGACAGATCGTCTGGTAATCAGCTGAGCTGGAAGGGGGACCTTATACTTGGATCATGGTACTGATATTTAATGCGTCAATATCGATTGAAAAAACTTCTAATCGATAACCCTTTTAAAACATGATATCGATACTATCAGCTTTAAACAGAGCGCCCCTTTTAAACCCTTCCAAGCCTACAGAGCCACAAACAAAATATTTTTTTAATTTAATAATTTAAATGATTCAGTTAGTTCAAAATGCAAAATAACTTCGAAAACGAATTACGTGGCGTCGAAGACGATGCTATTGCTGCCCAACATCAAATTGGAAAATACTTTAAACGATATGGCGAGTCCGGCCACCAGGATGCTTTTAAGCATCAGCTAATATTTGCCAGCCGAATTATTAATAGCATAGCCAAATGTGAAGTGAAATATCCAAAGATATATTGTGAAATAATAACACAGGTATTTGGTGACAATCTCAAGCCGGAATGTAGTGATAAATATTGGTCAGCATATGTAAATAATTTACGATATTTTCACTATCATTTAGTGACAAAGGTAAGTGAGGACATACAAAGAACAGTCCTTCCGAGAGAGTAATATTCGAATATTATACCAAATTTTCTTGTCTTCTAGAAACATTTCGAATATGCCTCCAAAATATATTACTATATCTGTGACCTACCGCCCAGTAAATTGCAAACCGAAGATGTTTGCCTTGCATTTGTTTCCATGTACTGCAATCAAATGTTCCTGCAAAATGTCCATCTACAGAATAATCGCAAACCCGATCTGACAGAATTAAATCACATTGTGGAAAATCTTCAAGTGCTGTTCGAACAAATGTTGGATAAAAATAAGGAGATCAATCTGCAATACAAGGATGTGCTACACAAATGCCTGCAGAGTATATTTCCATCCTCAGGATATACAAAAATGCAAAAACTATTTAGTCATCTAACTGCAGGGAAGGTGGCACGAATGTTTGCATCTTTATTTAAGCTACACACCCAACAACGTATGTCGCCGCCACCCCCAAAGGAGGAGATACAACAGATGGCTCATTTCATCATCGAAACATTGAATAATTTCATTGTATACGATATAATGGATAATTTCCAAACACAATTATGTGTCCAACTATTGAAATATTGCCACGCAGATAGTAATCTACAATCCGATAAAGCCATAGCAGAATTGTTTGGTCAACTCTATCAATATTTAAAAATAATATGTATGCAAAAGCCCATAGATGGATTTCAGAGTGCAATAACAAAATGTTGTGAGGGCTTCAGGCAACTTTTTGAGTTACATTCCAAAAATGCCGTGAATTATTTGTGGTTCAAAGATATGCTGGTGCTGATTAGTACCATCCATATACAAATACAGAATACAACAGTTTTCTGTTGTTTTTGGAAACAAATGAAACATCTATCATCCTATCGGGCATTGTTAATGCTTCTGTTGGAAGCCATGAAGTTGGCACCTTGTATATCGAGTGATAGTAAATTGAATACAATCCGATGTTGTACGAGTTTCCGTAAGCACATAATTTTAACATTTGCCAATGCTGCCCTGTCCATATTTGTTTTATATTGCCAAAATGTGAAAGATGAACCAAAGGAGGAATGTACCAATGGGTTGGAGGTGTCAGATGGACAAGAAAACTCAAAGCAACAGGTATGCTAACGGTGGACATGTATTTTAAGTTTAATCATTATGAATGCATTCTTTAAAATGTAGCATATCAAAATTAAAATATATATCTCATATATTGGTATATATTCAGTGATATGTCTAGAGAGGGTATATAGAATTTGATACAGCCAAAACGTGTCTCATCGAAATAACGGTTTTAGACCCTAGGTCTCCTTGGACAAGATCTGTTTCAGGACATTTAGAGTCGATCTAGCAATGTCTGTCTGGCTGGTGCGCATGATAACTCTTGAAGGAAGTACTTCATTTGATCCAAACATGGTACATCGTAATATTATTGTCAAATTTAGATCGAGTTCGGAGATGGGCAATACCAGACCACTCCTTCTGGTACCTCCCCCACAAAATGTCGACATTTTCAAAGAAAATAATTTACTGCATAGAAAGAGAAAGGATAATCCGATTTTGCCCTAACTTTGCAAATCCTAATATTTGCATCAGTGCTAGGTCGGATGCGAAAATGGACAATATAGGTTTACTCCATTAAGTACCTCCCCTACAAAGAGTCACAATTTTGAATATTCATGAAGGTTTTAAAACACGAAAATAACATCCGATTCCATTCAGACTTGGCACATCTCAATATTTCCATTAACACAAAATATCTTAAAAAAGATGGTAGGGATCGGACCATTCCTTCTGGTACCTTGCAACAAGGTGTCAAAGTTTCGAATAACCAAAACGATCATAAAATCCGAAATACTTATCCGATTCTCTTCAAATTACGCACATCACAATATTTTTATTAACCCAATGTTTGGTGTGAAGATGGAATATATCGGTCCAATCCATTATGTACCTCCCCCACAACTAGTCAAAATTTTGAATATTCATGAAGCTCATAAAACACGAAATTAACATCCGATTCCATTCAGACTTGGCACATCTCAATATTTCCATTAACACAAGATCTGTTATAAAGATGGTAGAGATCGGACCATTCCTTCTGGTACCTCCCCACAAGGTGTCAAAGTTTTGAATAACCAAAACGATTATAAAAACTGAAATAATTAACCGGTTCTCTTCAAATTACACAATATTTTTATTAACCCAAGGTCTGGTGTGAAGATAGATACAAAATATTGAAGCACTTTTATTATTTTTTTAGATACAACAACTTATTACCCCTATTATACAATCATTTTCTAACGTCTTTTTTCCTTCTTTCTTCCAGGACGTATATGTGGAAGAGCTGCAAAAACCTTTACTACTCATTGTTAGCCATGCCTTTAAAATTATCGACAAAATGGAATGCATTGACAGTAAATCCCAAGACATAGCATTTTTGTTGACCCGTTTCAAACAGGCAGCTGTTAGTGCCAGCAGTGCAAGACAGGCTAAGACTTGCGTGAAATTAGCTGAACTATATCTGAAAATTAATAATAAATTTGCCGAAACTGAATGGCCTTTGCTCTTGAGACGTATTTATAAATCTTCGGTGCAATGTTTTTCCGGAGATCCCCAACAAATACGTGAAATGCAAATATGTTATATAGCCTCCCTGTTGCATTTAAATACAGAAATTGATTTCACCCAAATACGTGGACAAATCAGCATGTACTATAGTGATTCATTCAAAGATGAACAACAGCAGAAAAATATACAAAATGTATCGATACCTCCACACGAAAATTGTTTACTATACAGCCTAATGCGTAGCACAAATCCTTTGCGTCCACACTTGAGAGCATGCCGTAAGAAACTTCTACATTGGCTGGAAGTTCAACACACTGTCAAATACTATAGAACGAATATCAATTTAATGCAATCGCTGATATCATCTAGTCAGTCATATTATGATTTTGTCATAACCACACGCTGCACAAAGCTTCTAACATCTCAGGTGCCGAAATTTCTATCAATACATAAACATTTGCGCACCAAATCCACAATGAGTCGTTTGGAACAATTAACATATGGTCATACCTGTACAAAACTCCTGCAGGAATATCACAATCAACGATCACAGGCAATGCCTCTGGAAACTAAAGATTTTGGAGAAACGCAGTTGGAGCAATTGCTGCTGAACAAGGAAATGGAAAAGATGACCATTTGTAATGAGTTGCAGTATGTAAAATTGGCCTATGATGGTTATTCAGCTTTTCAGGAATTCTATGATAGGGTAAGTCAAAACAACAACAATCATATTTGGAAATATTTCAAATCAATAACATTTGTTTTTTTTATTTTCAGTTCGATACCGAAAAAATATCAAGTGAGGAGGCCCTAATTGATTGGGAGGCCATCGTTGATGATTTAACAACCCTTGCCCAGTATCTGCAGTTTGGAAATTATATGGAATATGCCTCAAATGTGTGGTTGCTTCACTACAAAATCTGCCAACTATTGTGGAATAGTTGCTCGTCATTGATTAGTCTGACTTTCTTTTGTGAATTTTCTGTTTTCCATGAGAAAACCGAAAATGGTATCCTTCAATTGGAAAAGGAAGTACAATGGCATTTACCCAATATAACACAGGCCTTGGAACAGTTATCTAGCCTAACACGGCGCAAACAAAACGTGGTATTTTTGGCCACCCTGCAAATCGCCTACTACTATGCCAATAATGGCAAATATAGTTTTGCCCAAATGTTGCTGCAATTTGTTGAGGAAAAACATGGAGAACTTGGTGAACGTCAGGGTTGTTATGACATTGTGCGGGCTACCTTAGATGTAATACGTTATCGTCTCTTGTGGAAACATTATTGTCGGCCGGAAATGCCAAAGAAGGCTGCCAGTCTTCTATTGAATCAATGTCTAATGGATGAAATGGAACGCATGCTAGATCGTCTGAGAGATTTTTCCTTTGTTTCGGGCGATGCCTTGTACTACAATATGTTGATAACAAATTTGGCACAGGATATGGCTGAATGCTCTGCTAATCGTATGTATGAGAATTTTCTTAACTCCCTGTTCGTGGTGGCCTGTAGATGTGCCGTACAATATGGCTATGCTTTGCGTATGGCCCAGGTTATGTGCTCTTGGATGTGGATAAATTTACAAATGGAATATGTTGATCAGGCCCAGGTATTTCTTTTAAAATCTAAAAGCGTTTTATCGAAGTAAATTTTGGCATTTAATTTCTTTTTTTTTAGGTAAAAATGAAAATAATCGAATATGTTATGGGCATCAAGAGTTTAAAAGAATTAATTGGTAATTCAGTTGAGGCCAAGAAGGATGAGGAAAAATGCAGCAGCGCTGGGTCACCAGAAAACTACAATGACATTCTCTCATCTTTAAATCACCACAATGACATAGAAGCAGCACGTCGCCTGGCCCATGTGCAATTGTCGCCCATAAAAACGGTGAGTATAAATTTATATTGTTTATCTATCCCCCAAGGAAATCATTGTTTTCTTTTAATTCAAAGGGCAAATTATATTTACGACCTGACTCCCAGATAACAACTTTAAAAAGTTATTTTAAATTTAAAATCGACACAAAAACTCTGCCACAAAATGAGTTCATGGATTGGACATATTTTGTGATAGGCTGTTTAAATGCCCGTCTCTATTTTCTGGTTGAAGACTATGTGCAACTGCAACCATTCTATGAGAAGGGACGTGAATGGCTGGAGATGAGACAAAACCGTTTCAATAAAAACTTCTTTAAACACATCCAACTTATGGCCATGCAGCATTATGTGAATTTTCTCCGGGCCAATAATCAACACGATAAGGCCATAGAGTGTCTCCAACATGGTCTGGAAGTTTGTGAGACAATAAAATGGAGCGTAGATGCAGTGTATCGGGTAAATTTTAAACAACAATTATTGGCTGCACATCATGAAATGCCTAAGAATGCATTGGAAAATATGAAGAATATGAACAAATTAAAGAAAATTAATATATCACCAGATAAAGTGGTCAGATGTAGCAATAAAAAGGCTCCAGGGGTTGTGAATTCTTCAAATAGAAAACAAGTAACTGGCAATACAGGTGCTGCTATCTCCACCCGCAAGCCATCTAATTCTCAAACAAATAGTAGCAGCAGCTCCAGTCCTGAGTTAAAAATCAAAGCAAAAACTAAACCGAAATTCAATATTTGTGAAGATGCCATTGAAATTCTAGATTCAGATGATGATAATATGCACAATAACATGAAAGACAAAAAGAAAATCACAAAGGTAACAAAAACATATGCGAGGAAAATACCTTCCTCCTCTGCGGCAAAAGTGACAAAATCCAAAACAAGTCCAATGTTAGATAGCATAGAATTGATAGACCCTCCAGCCATATTATCAACAGCAATGACATCAAGCACAGATGCCTCATCACTCTCATCAACATCATCGTCTATGGAAAATCTACAAGCCAAAGAGAATCAGCAACCCCATAATAATTTAGATATAATAACAAAATTAGAGAATTTAGACTTAAATGATAAAACAAAAGAAAAAAGAGGTCGACCACGGTTACGCAGATCGCCTACGGCCAAGAAAACTTCAATTGTAATACTGGAGGATTCACCACTAAGTCTTAAGCCAATTACAAAAGCTGTTGTAACCAAATCGCGTAGTCGTACCCGCAATCAAAAAAACCTATTGGATGCGGCAATCAAGTCGACAACAAATGAAACAAATTTAAATGTGAGAAGTACCCGGAGGCGACATGGTGATGTAATCTGATATAGATTCTTCACAATTACTTTAAATTAATTAATCCTTAACTAATAAAACAGATTACCATTAAATCTTTAACATAACATGTTAAGTTATATTATATTTTTGCCTTATTCGCTTTTTCTATGTTTTTATTTTTGTTTCTCTTTTGTACGTTGTATTTGTAATAATATTCTAATAATAGTTAATAAAGGTTTCTATTACTAACTTATTTATAAAGGCTATTCATTGTAGCTATCCCTCTATTCACAAGCTGTCAATAAATTCGATTGAGATCTAATGTGTTCTGTTCATGAGATTTTGAACCAAACCTATGTTGCAGCTGTTGCCGATTGCAACCAGAATAAAAAGTAGTAAAATATAAATTGCGTAGTTACTTAGACTGTTTTCATTTTGTGTGTTTCAGAACCTCCGGAGTAGAGCAATTAGAGCATTTTACGGGGCTAATCTCATTTATGACGTATGCAATGGAATTGACATTTTAAATCTACTAATATTGCTAAAGCTAGTACAATGTAAACGTGCTATGAGTCAGAGCGATTTAAAAAAAAATCCTCTGCATAGCCTGTGTAAATAAATAAATATAAATAAATAATTTGGTCTAAAAGTGAAGTAAATGATCAGAAGAACACGTTTTGATGTAAACTCAGCAGATAATAATGAATATATCCGCGTAGACCAATAGTGTTTTAACAAGGACTTCGATTATGTGTGCACTGCTACAGCCAACCCATGGTAGAAGAATACAGGTAAATGCATGAACGCTTGGGGCATTGTTATGTCAAAAAATGTAATGTTTTTTCAAAAAAGAGTAGATTTTTATATATTTTCTTATACGACGTCATTCGAAGGTTATTATAATTCGCGTTTTTCAACAATTTTTACAAATTTAAATAATTTTTCATTCAAGATTTTCTAATCCAAAATTCGTTTGACAGTTCATTGTCCTGCAGCTGTGTCGATGCGCCTATCTATATTCTTCTAACATGAGCCAACCCTAAAAATATTATGTTACACTCGACTGTCGAATGTGAAGACCATTAATGAAATACAATTACTGTTTTGTGTCTCCCAGCTATTTTACGAATCAAATTTTATGAACACTCAAAGGGAAATGGGTTCACTATCGATAACCAATCGATAGTGTTATTGATTTAGCTGTAATATTTTCCTCTAAAACTGACCCAAAGCGCTTTTCCTGTTTAGTGGAAATGTTATTCGCTATCGCTAACATGTTATTGGAGCGCATTTTTCTAAAGTGGGCATTTAATGGAGAAAAGTCTTTATTTTTTGATTTTTGTTTTATCAAGTAACTAAAAATATGTATGCTTAAGGAAATCTATAAGTAAAGGTAAACATAAGGAACCTAACCATCTATATCCAATTTGAGAGATACTCACTTGACAAGTAAACCGGTTCGATACTCGGTACACTACTTCAAACCACCCCTAAAACACGTCAAATTTCTATGAACTGTTAAATGTGAAGTCCCCTTACGAAACAAAATTACTGTTCAGTGACTCAAACATTCGTTTTCTCCAAACCTCTCATGTAGACTCAAATGTCTCCACAACTCTCCAAAATCCACTTCCAATAAAACTCAAATTCTATAAATTGAATCGTATTGAAGGAAAATCGTCAGTTTCCTCTAATAACAATCGCAAACCAATTGCCACTTGAGAAAAAAGACTCCCATCTAGCTTGCTAGCCAAAGTGAAGTGTGAAAAACAGCAACAACACCATCTCACAATAATCAACAACAAAACAGTTCGATCTAATAATCAAACAACAATTATTTCTTCTTTGTGTTCTAATAAATTTCAACCATTAAGAGTAAAAATGCCATCACAAATGAATAATAAACTGTAAGTAAAAATAATAGTGTTCTAGTGGAATAGAAAAAGAAAAATGAAGAAGAAGAAAGTTTTGCAGTGATGATGTTGATGAATAATTGTTATTAAAGTGCTATACGAAGAAGAGAAACGGTTGGAATAAATATCCTTAGGAAACCGTTTCTCAAAAGTGTGATGGCCGTTAGTTTTCATAAAAAAAAGTAATAGAAAATGGTTTGTAAATTATTTGTGGGTTAAGTAAAAGAAGATAAAAGGAGAATTATATATATAGTACACATAAGCGTGTGTGTGTATTTTCTATATAGTACATACATCTGCTACAGCAATATGTGTAGTGTGTGGTGTTGATGATGACGGCGTGACGACAAAGTTGTCGGTCTAGTTGTTTGTATTCGTTGCATTTACAAGAAAAAAGAAACAAAAAAAAAAAAACGAACAAAAGCAACAATAACTGTTTCGGTATAAATAAAATACACACATATACTTGTACGAAATTAACCTTCAAGTATTGTCGAACAACCAGACTAGTATTACAAGGGGGAAAGAAAGTATTTTGTTGTAAGTAAAGAATTAAAAATCAAATTCAACATACAAAAACACAAGTTTAATACAAATATTTCTAATATACATTTTATGTGATGACCTGACCCCCGCCCTAGCTTTTTGCGTTTTTGTTGAGAATTTTATTTTTATCTTTACTCCATTTGTGTTGTTTTTATTTTAAAAGAGCGATAAACATTACTTAATATATTAATTATGAATTCTTTTTAATGTATTTCTCCCCTTTTTTTGTAAAATATTAAGGTTTTTGTTCGTTTTTTTTCAATTTTTTTTTCTTCATTTCAGCCATTTTATTAATGTTTTATTTTTCATTGTTGAGTGAATGAGACGGACAAATAGTCTCCAATACAAGTCTCCACTGTACTCCGTTGGAAAGTTATTCTCTTCTAGTTGGAATAATGTGCTCTCTTGGTCCCTTACTCTCTCCCCCATTTGGATTTTTGTTGTTTATTGTTTTGTTTCCGCTCGCTCTCGACTCGTTCGTTTTCTGTTTTCCATTTCGTAATTAATTTTCTCCATAATTCCAGAAAGCGATTTGTGTTTGCCTTGCCGATTATAAAAAGGAGAAAATGTTTTTTTTATGATTTGTTTATTTTTTTAATTTATTTAGGCCCAAGAGTAAACTATTCCATATTCAATATTTTTGAAATTAACCTTAAAATATTGGCATGAGTAGCTTAATATTTGTACCCTACAGCATGCAACGTTGGTCATAAATATAAGTCACTATTTTTGAAAAACGCCGCAAAAAATAATTTTAGATCACATATTTTTTGAACACAAAACCTGCAGAATTGTGGAAATTTTATCTTCAGTTTTTTGAGCTAAGGGCAGTACTGTTAAAATTTTAATAAAGCTACTAATCTGCTGCAATTGCTTCAATAGACCACCTTTTCATAAGGAACAGCTGACTTTTTGCATTAGGGATACTTAGACCGATTGTGATCGATAACAAATATCTCGGTGCTTATTTTGATGGCAACGCACATCGAAAGGGAATGATCTTGAGGGTCAGAAATACTTTTATTTTTTATCCTATGTTATTAAATGGATTGAATAAATGCAAATAAACCAATTTAGATTTATGTACAACTGATTTTGCTTAGAAGGTATTTTTAGATCTCTTGGATGATAGGCGTTCCAAGTCATTAAAATTGATTTGACAAAGGTATGTTTAACAAGGTGGGCGCATCGGCTAGTAAAACAAAAATGTAAAAAATGTTATTAGGTCTGTCTGCATAATTTTCTTGCAGGAATTTATGGCAACTTCTTTCATAGAGTGGGAGGAAGTATTAAAAAAGGCAAATGACAGATTTTTTCAAATCGAGTCGTGTTAATGTAAAATAATTGTTAGAAGAGAAACTAATTACTAAAAGTTATTGTTTTTACCTGCTATAACCGATGAAAATTCACTTTAAAATACCAAGAGCTTTAGCTGCAGGACTTTGAAGATTAGGGATGGAGACTTCATATAGTGTCCAATAAAATCCTACTCTTTAATTTTTAAGTTATCAACAATATCTTACGCTTTGTGCCAGAACCTTCAAGAATGTACTATTTTTGAAATTTTGTTCGATATTATAAAGGGAAAATCCCGTTATCGTAATAAAAACTTTTACATTCTTGCAGTTTTGGAATAGATCAAATATATTGCCTTATCTGGTTAAGATATCAAAAATGGTTTATTGGTTGAGCATTATAACTCGCTGTAATAATTTACATTTCAAAATATGGTCATAACAAACTTTACCAAATGACTCTGTCTGACATACTTTATAGTCAGCTTCTTGATAAATATCTAACTGCTTAGTCATGTCTATACAGATAACCTCAAATGTTTTACGTAAATAAATTTAAATCTCAGAAAATTCCAGATTCTCATTTTTGTGTTTATTTAAGCTGAAAACCGTAATTTACCATTATTTCATTACTTCAAACACAGCCCACTTTAGTACTTATCTTATTTACTTTTCTCTTATCATCATGATTTTCTTTCTGATTTCGTTGTGTAAATTTAAGCAGTATATTTTATGTACCTACCATCTTTTAAATTCTTATCTTGTTCTCTCAATGTTGAATAGGCCACAAGATTTAAAAAAGCTAAATACAATATAGTTTTATTTTCTTGTTTTGTTTTACTTCATGTTTTAAGTCATGTAGTCACCCATTATAATGTTTTATTGTATTGTACTACCTACTAGTCTGTTAGAATTTGTGTTGACAAACAAACAATGCCGTTAGCCAGGTTTAACTGAATACTGCCCCTACCATCTACCAGTCTCCTTTTCCTCCACTCCTCTTCTTTTCACAAATTATATAAATACATATCAAGTTGTCTGGTTGGTTCACTGGCTGGCTGGCTGATGGGGAACGTGACAAGTTGAGTTGTTGATGTTTTGTTTATACATTTGTTTTTCTTTTTTCTACTTCTGCAGTATATTATCGTCCGCCTGCTGCTTATCCTCTTCTCACCCACACTTTGTTTATTTGCCTGACTGGTGGTCGTAAAAATTATCTTTTGTTTGACTTTTTTCTGAAGATAACGACATTTTTGTTATCTTTTGCTTATAATGCAAATATCATAATGCAGTCGTCATTGTTTATGCTTATTTCTCTATAGAACATTATGTAAAAATATATATGAAAATATATTGAATTTTGGATAAATACTACACAAATTTTCGGTATCCTTTAAAAAAATTTATGGTCTGTTTGAGATCTGCAAGAATGTATAAGTTTTTACTACGATAAACGATTTTTCCTTTATGACTTCAAAAAAAAAAAAAAAAAAAGGAGCAAAACTAGCAGATTCTTGCAGTTAACGGAACAGAACATTAGATCATACAGTTTAGACAGTCTAAAAAAG